CACCTCCACTGCGGTCGCCGCCAAAGCCACCCCTACCTCCACGATCGCCACCGAAACCTCCGCCTCGCGGGCCTCGAGGTCCGGCAGGTGCACCATCTGGGGGTCCACCGTAGCCGCCTGGTTGGTAGCCGATACCTCCACGGCCACCGCTAAAGCCACCACCTCCTCGACCTCCTCCGCCATATCCTCCTCGGAAGCCTCCTCGGTCACCCCCAAATCCACCCCTGAAGCCGCCTCCGCCGCCGCCTCCGCCTCCGCCACGTCCGCCGAAACCGCCGCTCTGGAAGCCACCGCGTCCACCAAAGCCACCAGGACCTGCTGGGGCAGCTCCAAAGCCGCCGGGAGCAGCGGGACCACGAGCAGACGGGCCCTTGGTGTAGCCTCGACCACCGAGCCCGCCACCAAAGCGACGAGGACGCCATCCAGATACGGTGCGGCCGCGCTCGACGTCGACGAGGACGCGTCGGTCTTTGATCTTGATTCCGTCGGTTTCCTTGTACGCGGCTTTCATGTCCTTTTCGCGCTCGAAGACGATGAAAGCATAACCGCGCTTTCGCTTCTTCAGTGGTGCGTCGGCGGGTTGGGTAACGTCCTCGACGATGCGAATGCGCTCAATTGGACCGTAGCGACCGAATTCGCGCTCGAGGTCGTCGGAAGTGACACCATAAGCAAGGCGCGATACGAATAGAGTCTTGAAGGCGTCGCCCTGAACCTTTGGATCCTCAGACGGTTTATCTGTATAATGTTAGTAAATGAAGAAAATAACAGTGCGCGGGGTGATGTCGTACAGTCTTTGACACCTTCGGTAATCAACTTCTCCTGTTTCTCCTTCTTCTCCAGCTTCTTGCGATCGCGCTTCTGCAGCCAACTGTCGGTCGGCACATAGCCATCGTTGTCCTTGTACTCGCGCAGAGCGTCCATGTACTGTCCGATGCCGCCAATCTTGGGCGTGCACCGCTTCTCGGGCGCGTGGTCGGCTGGTTCAACCCATCGCAGCGGCGGACGCGGGGCGAACAGGTTCAACAGCATGGGCGGGAGTAAATGCGTCATGATGAATTAACTTCTGGAATGCGCTCCAGATGGCGATGTGAGATAGTTGGAATACTCCGAGTGGAGGGAATGGCGATGAAGGTTGGTGTTGGGGGATCGCTTTCGACGAGGAAGCTGCGACGCGCAGTTCGCACTAGCGCAATCTTAGGCTGCAACCACGGCACGTGAGGGAAGCTGGCCAAAGTTTGGCTGATTACATAGGGTAGGTGAGAGAGAAGCACCGTCACTACCGCCATTGAACGTCAACATGCCTCTCTCGGCTATCAAGACGGTCGCAAAGCCTCAAGTACGTCCCTGGTGAAACTCTGCCTCTATCCACCTTGCTCGGTGCTCATAAATTCGCAGAATGGCGTGGGCGCCTTTATCCTGCCCTGCAAATCCATAACCTTCCACTACTGCAACTGGTGGGGCTCCTCCCGGGGCATGAATGCCTTCCTCAAGACCTCGTTGCCTACATTCGCAAAGCGCAATCCTCAGATCGAAATCTCTGTCAGCCCGCGGCCAAGGCACCACCCCGTAATTATTGCAAACTACATCAACGGTGCACAACGGGCCATTTGTGTCAGGAACCTGCAAAACGAGGGTGTAAGGGAAAAGGCGGAAATGTTGAGGAATAGCACGGGAGAGAAGAATAGGAAGCTGGATGGACGGCCGGTGAAGAGTCTCAACGAGAGTGTTAGGGGTATCTGGAGTCCGTTCCACGGAAGCAAAATTAAGATATGAGGGGCATGAGGGATACCTGATTGCTGAACATGAAGAGCCTGGAAGATTACGATGGTTGAATTGGAAGAAGCAGGAATACAGGCTGAGAATCACGTGGATACGCCAAATAACGTCCCACCAGGTGTAAGAGAAGCATCGGTGGCGCACATTGAATTGACCATGCATAGCGTCTGTACAAACAATGTATCAAATACAAAACATCATGCATCATATCAAATCCTCATATGGTCTGTCATATGTGTCTATTGTGCTGTGCTGAGTTTATATAACTCTAGCCAACATTCCTAACATATTCGTCGTGATCAGTCATCTACAGACGAGCCTCGCCGCCATAAATTCATGCCTGCTTGCTGTTGATAATGTCGACAAACGCAGGCTTCAAGCTAGCACCACCGACAAGGAATCCATCAATGTCGGCCTGCTTGGCCAGCTCCTTGCAGTTCTTCTCCGAGACACTGCCTCCGTACAGGATGCGCGTCTTCTCGGCCGCCTCAGCAGAGATTTCCTTCTTGAGCCACTCACGGAGAGCGGCGTGTACTTCTTGTGCTTGTTCAGTGGTGGCGACCTTGCCGGTACCGATGGCCCTGTTGTTCGTTAGTACATATTCAAAATCTTCCTAATTCAAGACTTACCAGATAGGCTCGTAGGCGACGACAATCTTGCTCCAGTCCTTGACCTTGTCTGCAACGGCCTTGAGCTGCTTGGTGACAACGTTGACCGTCTCACCTGCCTCACGCTGCTCGAGGCTCTCACCGCAGCACAGAATCACACCGAGACCACCGTCGATAGCTGCCTTAGTCTTGCTCGCAACAAAGTCGTCGGTCTCTTGTAGGATTTGGCGGCGCTCGGAGTGACCGATAAGAGTCCAGGTGACACCGCTGTCCTTGAGTTGCTCGACGGAGATCTCACCAGTAAAGGCACCGTTGGGCTTGTCGAAGATGTTTTGCGAGGCGACTTCGATTTCCTTGCGGAGCTGCTGGCGTGTGGGGAGGAGGTACAGGGATGGGGGTGCGATGACGACCTCTGTCGGAGTGTTAGCATGTTGCTTTTGCAGTGGTCTGATCTACGTTTTGAAGCTCTTATGCCGGGAAAGGAAGTCTCTAGCATACCTGTGTTGGGGTCAAGCTGGGCCTTGTTGAGATTCTCTACGATGTCGGTGATCGATTTCATCGTACCGTTCCTTTACAACTGTCAGCTTCTTCCCGTTGTTGTGCAAGCACAGTGCGTCTAACATACATCTTGAAGTTTCCACCGACGAAAAACTGGCGACCCATTTTGGCGATTGTTGTATGAGACTGACTACAAAGGTGTGTATAAAGAAGTGTAGTGTTGAGGTTCAAAAGTTGAATTGAGCTTGAAGTGTGAAGTGAGTTGGAACTGCAATGCGTTGTTGAGCTGAGCTACTCTAGTTAATAGAGTTTGGCGGGGGTACGCGGGGCAGCTCGAGTGACGTCTGACAGTCTAGGAGCATTTCGCCGGAACTCGGGCTTGCCTCTGCCACGGCTTGGGCGAAGGGATTGCAAAACACTGGAGATGCGGACCCCATGTTGAAATCTCTTCCTTCCATTGGCAACTGTCGCGATTTCGATACTCTCCGGAGGCGTTGCGGCATATCTTCCGGCCGGTGAAGAGCCATGCGCGGACCCATTAGCCCATGATAGTATCCGGTCAACTATCTCTTTTCGAATATAGCTAGCAATATCTGATGCTATCCAAGATTCATCAATTGCACAATGTTTTCAGAGAAAAGCACAATGATGAAAGACCGACCCACCGATCGTCCCGCAATCCTCCTTGGCTCAGCCTCACCATGCCGACCTCTTCAGAACCCGGCACGCATCATTGACCACACCACGCCATGTCTGATACCATGAAAACTCCCACCACTCCAGCACCAGTAGTACATGGCTTATCCGTCACGCCACTCACGCAATGCACGCACTGGCACTCTTCGCTCGACATCATCGCCATCAAGCACTTTTGCTGCAACAAGTTCTACGCATGCATTACTTGCCACAACGTATGCGAGACACACTGCCCCAGCGTCTGGCCACAGACTCGGCGGGACGAAATGGCGGTGTTGTGTGGACAGTGCAAGCATGTGCTGACTATCGACGAGTACATGAAGAGCGGAAGCAAGTGCACGGTCTGTGGCAGCGGGTTTAACCCAGGTTGCAAGAACCATTGGGACTTGTACTTTGAGATTGATGCTAAGGATACTGTGCAAGCTGCATGTTCTAGAAATTCTCATCTGGATTGATGTAGTCATCACAGACTGGCACTTCACGCCGATGGATTCCGGTATGAATATGGATGGAGTTTGTACGCATGAGAGTCTCATTACCACGCCACGCTCTTTCAAGAAAAGCATAGCATGCCACTATCAAAAATCTTACGAGGAAAATCTCGTTGGAATTGCGAGCAATTTCTGCTACTCCGCATCCCCTTCCTACCCTCCCCTACCCATCCCCTGCTTCCACACTGCCAGTTCTTCCTCCGTCCCCATCCCCGGCCGCGGTTTCCGAAATGCACGTGTTGCCCCTATCCATGCCGTCTCAGCTCAGCTCAGCTCTGCTCAATTGCTCTACTTCCGCCGCCCATGCTTCGCAATCAGACTCCGCGACTCACCGCACAGCCAGATATGCGGCCCAGCTTCTCCATCTTTCAAGCCGTGCTCATTGATGAGTGTTTCAATTTGCCGGATACGACCGCGGTTTGCGCTCAAAGTAGTAAGAGTGCGTGCCCAGCCGTGGAGAAATATGGATCTTTAGACGCGTTAGTTGGGCACGGGAAGTGCTGGTTGTGAGGATGACGTACTTGTTCAGGAGACCTAGTTGGTTGGCGATTTCTTTTGCTACTTCTGGAAGGCCGTCGGTGATGGTGTCTAGGTTGACGGACTCGACTTTTATGGGTAGTACGAAGCCTGGGGGAGGTGGATAATCGGAGATACTTGTCTGGAGGTAGGCTTAGTAATGCATACGTGAATTCAGAGGCTCTTAGCTTGGAGTATTCAGGAGAAACAACATACCCATTCTGCGACCAGCTCTTCCGAAGTCTTTGACTCACAGTCGCCTTGTCCAAGTAGGAGATTCGCTCTCGACTTCTCCGTATCAGTAGCCAGAGTCTCTACTATGAGATTCATCTGATCAGCCGCTTCGCGTGTGCATACCATTGGATGAGCTCCAATAGCAGGATACAGATGTGTTGGAAGTAAATGTTCTTCAGCCTCCTCGTTGATCTGTGCCCGTACCTCCCCAGGATACCAGTCCAGTATCGGACATGGGTTATGCGAGATATCAGAGATGAGTGCCAGCAAAATCGTACAATCGATGTTCAGCGTTTCAGACAGAGCGCGTGACCGATCGATGAGTAATTGCGGGAGGACTTCGTTGATGGGAAGTGCTGGAGGGATGTCACCACCACACTGTACGATAGCACCCGTTGCACGGATTTTGTTGATAATCATGTCGATTGCCGGTGTTTTTCCAGATTCGATACGCGTTAGTACGAAGCGCACTTTGGGTCGGCGGCCTCGTATAGGATTTGCACAAGCTGCCCGTGCGAGTTCACGCGCGTTTCGTACAACATCTACTTGGTCTTCGTCATCTTCGTCGTCATCTGGCTGTACAGTGGGTATATCCTCATCTTCGTCAGAGTCAGAATCGTTCATCCAGCCCAACTTTGCCAGATCGAAGAGAAGTCGCTTTTCAGACACCGTAGAGATGCGGATCCATTCCATGCCTTCTTCAGCAACAATGTCGACTAGGGCGGCAGTCTTAGCCTTGGATTTGGCTTGACTGCCCTTTGCCAGACTGAGTCCTTTGGAAGTGCTTTTGCCAGCTGGCACGGTATGTCGGGCCCAAAAGAAGTACTTTCGAAAGCCCTGTAGTCCCGACGAACGTTTTGCTGCACTCCATAATGCTTCGTAATAGAGAAGGTTAGATGAAACAATATAGTGTCTAGCCTTTTCCTCGTCCATATTGGATCCTGCTAGCTTTGTGAGGAAGGCCAGCTCGTTGCGCATGTCATTGCGGAGATTCCGGTATTCGACGGGGTGCTGGACTTTTCCCACTTTTTGCTTTTCGAGAACGGCGGAGACGTAGGTTTCTACTTCAGAGTGAAGATTCTGACCGCGTTGAACTAAGCTCTGTATGGTGGCTTCGAGCTCGGCCCGCGAAGTGGCAGTTTTGTCATTTGCAGCGGCGGCTTCCAATTTGAGATTTCCTAGGTCTTCGCTCAGGGAGTCTGGCATGTTGGAAAGGACGAAGTTGTAGGTGGATATTGAGACACTAGGGTTAAGTTTTAGTTCTGTGAGGACATCTAGCCGTTGTGGTTGATTAGTTGATGCGCTAGTTGTGTTTTCGTGGTGTAGTCAAGTGAGGTGGAGAGGAATTTGGAATGGGCCACTAGATCGTACCAAGAAACAAATCCACTTATCACTCTGAGTATTCGTTCAAAATTGATGCCCAGAAAGAAGACATGTTCTTGTATAGAGATGCATTTTTCTCATGAACGGTGGGGCAGAAAAGTCCACAGCTTCAGCCCTTCCCTTAAGCCACGGCGTCAGTGAGTCACGAAGTTGCCTGATTCAATGCATGTGCATTTTTGCCGCTCTTGAACTTTTTATCATTTCTTGATCGGTGCTTGATATTTCATGTCACCGTCTCCACAGTCGCGTGCGCGAGGAAACTGGAGGGTTGCAGTTCTGGACCGACGTTCCTCCGGTAAGCGTGACCCGGCCAAAAGTTGCCCGCATCTTGAACGCGAACGCACCAACCATCCTTCACCTTCCGATTACCCCAGACGTCACCCCCGGCCTACACAATGCCCTACTTCACCACCAGCGCCGAGTGGTTAGAGCAGTCGTCGCTACTGCTTAAAGCACGCCCAACTTCCGTACGAGCCAGCTTCTTCCTGCGCATGCGATCCGCCATCTAATGGAGCTATTAGACACGAATCACGTCCAAATACACCGTGTTGAAGCCCACGCCATCCAAAATCGCAAAGCGAAAAGCCTACGAGGCCAAGAGGGCATCAAGACCCGCTGACACAACGCGGACGTCGTCGCCGCCGCCGCAATCGCAAGACGTCGAGGAAGTCACGGTTACCTTTACATTGAAGACATACGACCCGGCATCGGGAACGTCATTGAAATATGAGACAACCAAGGGTGCAGAGGTTGGAAGGCTAATCGGGAACTTGAGGAGACTAGGTCGACACATGGCCGCGCTCCCGGAGCTTGCAGAAGAGTCAGCTGCCGGTGAGGGCGCATCAGCACCACAGGCTGATGAGAGCGGAGATGTCAAAATGGGTGGGGTCCCTGCGGATCCCAAGGCCGGCACAGGTACGGGTGGCAAGAAGAAAAAGAAGGGTAAGAAATGATTGGTCGGCACATGGTTACGATCACGATTCACGGGCATTCGCATGCTGTCAGCGTGTTCAGCGCATCCAGAGATTGACGGCAGGGAAAGGCGAGGAAAAGGGGGAAATTATCATGGCCACTACTATCTCAGCATTTGCATGCAGATGAGGGCTAAAAATACTCATTATGACTACCGAATGGAGATACCCAGTCCTGCATCTACCATGTCTTCCGGTGAGGTCCGCGCTGACATGAGCATCGTATCACGTGTCCTTTTGGCCTTCGAGTAGGTCTGCGAGCCCATATCGCTACCAGAGAATGGTGAGTACAATTCACGAGTCCGCTGTCATGAGTATTGTAACATGACAAGATTCACTTTGATATATCATAACAACAAAGTTCTCGCACCATGTTGATTGATCAAGGTTATGAGCAAACAGCAACAACAGACCAACTCTCCTGCTCAAACCAGACACATTTCCGAAGATTATCCCTCCAAACAGTTTGCTAGAATCCTCCTTGAACAATCTAGTTCGCCGGCTTCACCTCTGGAGCGTCAACCTTGAAATTGTTAAACTTGTCCGGAGCGCCCCCTCCGGATTTCATGATAGCGTCCATTTCATCCTTTTCGTCCTGGGTCATGCCCTCTTTGGTGTAGTGTTGTTGTTTCTTGCTGTCCCACCAGCCGGCGAATTCCTGTGAGGAGGTGCATTTATGGTCACCTCGATCCGCCCTCTTAAGTTGGTTAGGGTTAGGCTTGTACCAGCTGGCGCCGGTACCCGGTACGTCGATGCAAGTTTCAAAGTAAGTGACGTCCTTTGCGACTGTCTCGGTTCCGCATTGAAGCGGTAGCTTGGTGGCATTATCGAGGCCTGGGCCGGCCCTCCAGAGCTGGAAGACCTTGTTTGCGGGTGACCAGACCTGGAGCTTGGCGGATTGGATCCCGGTCCACTGCTTCTCGACGGCTTCGGTAGCGTTGTTCGTTCCGCGGTAGGACAGGGCACAGGTCTGCGGGCCAATGTCCTTGAAGAAAGTACCGCATCCACCGCAGCCAGGCTGGAAGTAGGTGTAGATGTTTGCGGCAGAAACCACGGAGCCGAGGGTGCTCAAGGTAGCGAGGGTAGCGAGGTTGAGAAGCATGGTGATGGTGGTCAAAGACTTTGGTACAACTGTTGTGTTGGTTGTGTAGTCAAGAGTACAGAGATGTTGTGCTTGCAGATATGAACGTGGGCAGTAACACGCCTATTTATACCACCAGAGATCAGCGGTTGTCACTGCAACCACCAAAGTTACACCGATACTTCATCAGGTGGATATTAGCGTAAGCACCGAATCACCACGGGTGAACATGGTCTCTCCTGCTGGTCTTACTTAGCGCACCCGATGGCCACGAGAGAACGAGAGTGATAAGGTTCAGCGCCGAAGTAAGCACCGCCTTGGGACGCGTATGACGGTCATTTTGCATCTCGCGATCGATGCTCTTTACTCAGACTCGGGGGTTGGGGAATGTGATTGACAAGAGTTCCATCGCCGAAGTAAGCACCGAGTTACGACGTCGATGTTGGCTCTCGCAGATCCTTCTTACTTTGTTATCTCGGAGGTATGATCGCGCTTGGCACTACAAAAGTTCATGTGCTGGCCGTGAGGTACATCACCAATTACCGTGGTTGGGGACGTGTTTACCAAGCGCATGTCGTGCATTGTGAAAAAGCTACTAAGTCTGGTTCCATGTCCAACATGAGTGAACCACAACTGTAGAACCACCCGCAGTTAAGGTGCGATACAAAGGCACTAGATGTCTGCATCTTTCAAATTTTCCGTCCTATGAACTTCGGTCGATGTCATCGCAAGATCGCCGCTAACATGCCCCATAAGCGGCAAAATATAAAAAAAGTCTGGGCTGACCCTCATGCCATATGTGAGTACACCACACTGATCGACAGAGCAAGATTACTCCTGTCGATCGGACAAGGAAACCACCGCACCGTGCTGGATAACATGCTACTTGGACATCGAATACATGCGCCTTGCACGCTTTGCCATGCGTCGCTTGGCTAATTGGTGTTTCTCGTGTTTGCGCTTTGCTGTCTTGTCCATGTCCACCACCTTGCTCTGATCCTGCGCACGAATCTCCGCCTCGGTCTTGCCCACAAGAATCCACTCAGTCTTGTCTTGGTCGTCTAGAACGGCCTGCTCGTCGACGAGTTCCCAATCTTCCTGATCCTTTGCGCCTGGCTTGGCTGTATGAAGATCCGCGTTGTTGGTTCGGCGCAGGAAGTCGTCGAGCTGCGACTTTGATGTGTTTTCAGTGGCGGTGTTTGTCGAGGGCATTTTTCGCTTTGATTGTGGGGTAAGTTGTGGTAGGTAGTATGAGCGACCGGTATATAACAGGCATGGATATATGGTATGTGTAGCGACTAAGTGGTGGAGAGTGCGACGTCTGTGTATGGACTGACCAAAGGCAACAGTTATTTGAACTTGCCAGGGCGCCTCGGTGGCAACCGCTGTTCACGACTGGCTGCGACAGCAGTGAGTGAATTCAAGTACGCCTTTATCGATAGCTTGCCTGGTTGCCACTCTGTGATTGCAACAGTGAATGGTGCGCGAATCACCCCATACGATGTAGCGGATTGCATTGACAAATGTGCACTGGATGGCGATTTTGCGAATAACTGCCAGGAAGAGTCACGAACCTCTCTGAGTTCGAATCTATACAACAACCAAACTGAGACTTGTGTGGGTACATATTCCAAGGTGCTTGTGGGTTGTTCGAAAGCCCAATTCGACGATTCGCATCATTTCACATACTGCAAAGAACGACGAATTTGTATCAACACCATTGGATTGAGAAGTGGGCTATGCTTAACAGCTTTCGTCGATTCCGTAATTTTTACACTTGCTTGCCTCTTCACAACTTGCATGTAGCCGGATCTGCCGTGCTATCAGCACTGACAAGAAGCTCTGTTGGAATTATACAATCCAACTTTTATATAACTATAATTAGTAGGTCTGTCCAGGTGTATCCCGGTAGCTTTGCCTCAACTGGTTGGTAGTCCGTTACAGTCTATTCGACGGTACTGAGGTGATTCCATTACGATCAGCAGAGATCCGCCGCGTTCCTGCAGTGAGCAGGCTACATATCACCGCCTCCTTTACCCCCCTTGTAAGCCTTTTCCGGTTGGTGCGCAACATTCATGTGAAGAGATGACTAAGTCCCACCAATCAATCGAAAATACGTCGATCGCTGATTGATTCTACATTCATGTAACTGTAAGCCGTGAATTACGGGTACTCGTGTATGCGAAGCACTGGGCTTTTTGTGGTAATCCAAGTCCCGTAACGGAACTAGGCTGCGAAGGTCGTCCGGCTGTAGTCACCGGTACTTCCTTCCGGATGTGAAGGGTGCTCCTTACAATCATGATGACGTCTTGGCAGCGGCACAGTTCCCCCTCTTCTGAGGGACAGCGACAGGTTGACTGACCCACATCTCTTGTTCTTACGAGCTCATCTTCTCAGCTCGTACGTAGATTGCAAAACATCATCTCATTACACGGTGTCGTGTTTGCACCGAAATCTCCCCCGCGCAGTTTGCAGTCACGCTCACCATGGCTTGGTCTTATATAGGCGTGACGATTTTCTCCACACATACATGCTTGTTTGTCCAGAAGTTAAGCAGATCAATATCCGGGACGATAGAGAGTATGAGTGTTGGTCCTTTGATCACTTCCTCCAACCAAAGAACAAGACATGGTTCTTCCATACCTTTGCGAGACCGATTGTTGGAGCGCAGCGTTACCAAAATTACCATCCGCCAGCAGGGGCCATCGGTTCTAAGCATACATTCCTATTAGAGCGCCTCCCAACTGAATTTTCGACCTCGTAATCAAACAGCTTTTCATTGCAAACAGAGATACGTATTGAACACCTCTGAGGAATCAACTACAAGATGTCCTCTCCCTAGGCCTTACCTCTACTCGAATGCGGCCAATGGTCCTAAGCTACATTCACCGGAGTTATGCGAGTCCACAATCACCGAATTGGGCCGGAAAGAAGGTTGTCTTCTACGGTGGTCACTCAGAACTCACGGACGAGTTCCGGCACCATTACGACGTCAGAACCCAACATCGTAGCGAATACAGATTCTCCCGGGAGGTTTTGAAGGAATGGGAGTGGGATCGCTATCCGAACCCGCCTGAAGATAGATGGGGTGCAGCAGTAGATGGAGGTGCATCCTGGTATCCAACGAGGTTCCTCGACGATTTGGATCTTGCAAAAAGGGTGCTGGTTTACAAGGATCTGTCGCAGATGTACATGTATCCCCAAAATAGAGTCTGGATCTTGCGCAATAATACCACAAAGGAGTATATACGCTCAGATCAGCTGCAAAGACCAGCCGATATGGACAAGGGCTGGGAGCTATCTGTACCGTCACCGGAGCCTGTCACGTATCGTAAAAGAGTGGGAAGATTTTGGAGAAGTCTGCAATGCTCTTTTGACCGATTGCTATATGGCGAGCAAGTACCGGATGACCCCAAGCCTTTCACTCTCGCCAACGTGTTTCTCGTGTTGACGTGCAGTGCGACTTCTTCTCTATAAAGGCAGACCCACTACAAAACACGTACTCTTCGAAAATGGTCCATGGGCTGGTTGTACATTCGATGTCTTCACTCTTGACGCGCACAATAGAAGCTACCCGCTCCGCAAGCGCAACGCTATTGTGTGGACGGATGTGAGCCGGAAAGTGGCAGCGGACATGGCGAACCTGGAATTCTGTTTCGAGAAGCGGGTTTCTTTCGATTGGTTTAACGCTGGTATAAGTGAGCGTGAAGAGCTGCACAATAGAGTGAGAAGGAGTAGGAAGGAGTATCGAAAGTGGTGAAAGCGGAGCCACTTTCACTTTCACTCTTCACAATAGTGTAAGTTTACAATCCTATACTACACACGACCATTTCCCCTCGATTCCACCGCTGTTCTCTTACATTTTAGCATTTAGTAGATCTATTGTAACTCTACTATTGTGAGTGAACCTAGGTATCCGACAACTACCTATACCCTCTCCCTCCCCATCTTCTTACCATATCCAGACTTCCCACAAGACTTCCAAACCTCTACATACTACCAAAATCATACACTGAGCACCTTCCCACATCCCCAAAACACACCATCTACCACCTTCAAACCAGCCCCCAGGCGCCTACATACCACACAATGGACACCTATCCCCCAACCATCGTTCGCCATTGGATCCACCAATGCAACGCCAATCTCCGTATTATCACCCAACAAAAGGGCCCCGTGGCCGGACGCACACGGTCAAAAACCTCCACAACCACAACCACAACCACCAAGCCCGCCCCCGCACCCCCAGCAAACCGGTGTCCTCACCAAAAAGAAGATCACAAAGACCAAGACAAAGCACGCGGAGCGCCTGCTCTGCAGGAAGCGTCTGGCGCTGAAGAAGAAGCTCGAAAAGGGCAGGGACGGCGTTGTGTCATTCAAACAAAGACAGCAGGTGAAGCAGCTGTCGGAGCTTCTTCCCGGGAGATAGTTGGGTGGGATTCCGAGGGCGAGGAGGGGTGTGTGGAAGACAGTGGAGCGGCTTGAGAGGGAGAAGGTGGCGAGGAGGGTGGGGAGGAGTAGGCTGGGGGGATTGGTTTTGGATGAGGAGGAGGAGGAGGATGAGGAGGAGGAGTGAGCAGAAGGGATTAGGGACTTTGAGGTTCGGGATTTGGGAGGGTGGTCTGCTGGCGGACTACCTTTCCTTTCCTTTCCTTTTCATGAACATTTGTATACTACGGGAATAGATATCTCCTTTCCTTTCCCTTCCTTTTTATAAAATTTTGTATACTACAAAAATGGACATCATCTACAAGTTGAACATCACACTCGCGAGACCCACTGCTGCACCCCAAAAGAAACCAACGCCTACATGTCTTCGGGGTGCCATTCCCTCAAACTCGGGGCCTCCGAAGTTGTGCTCCCAGCTTGCGTTCAGAGCGACGGGTCCTTGGACGGTCTTTTCACCACCCAGGACAGTCATGTTCTTGATTACGAGATCGGTCTTGTAACCAAATTCACCAGCCATGCTGAACTTGCCGTTATCGTATGAAAAGGTGATGAGTGAGGTAGCCGGTTGTTCCATGGAATCACCGTCATCAAGGTACAAAGAGCCAGTGGCTTGGTTGGTAGAGTTCGGTGCGATCCAGAGGACGAAATCGTTCTTCCTGAGCTCAGTTGTCGTGTTTGCGGACTCTGCGCGGAGGGGCAAGATGGATCCACCGCGGATATGTAGGGGGATTGAATCAAAACCCACGTCGGTCAAGTTGATGTATTCGCCCTTTCCTTGGACACGCGCGCCAGTCCAGTAGTCGTAGAAGGTCTCGTTCGGCAGGTAGATGGATACCGAGGTGCTGTTTTCTTCCAGCACAGGCGATACGAGGATGCTGTTGCCGTAAAAGAACTGGTGGTCAATGGCAAACGTCTCGGGGTCTGAGGGGTAGTGGAACCAAAGGGGGTTTAGACTGGGTACTCCGGTGGTGGCCTGGCGATGGAAGGCCGTGTAGAAGTAATCCAAAAGCCTGTACCTTACGGCGATGGCGTTCTTGGCTGCTGCCGTAGTCAGGGGCCAGCGGTAGTATTCCTGGCTAATGGATGTGTCTCCGGCATGGTTCCTCATGAAGGGGTAGAATGCGCCCAGAGTGGCCCAACGTGCGCACAAGGTTTCCGTGGTGTTGCCTGCGAAACCGCAGATATCGGGGCCGACCATGGGGATTTGGTAGATGGCATTGAAACTGAGGATACCCGCAATGGAGAAGCGATATTGGGCCCATTCGGAGACGTTGTCGCCGAGCCATTTGCCTAGGTGGGCACCAAGTCCAACAAAAGTAGATCGTGTAATGATCAATGGACGACGTTCGGGACGGCGCTTGACCATAGACTTGCGGCTTGCAATTGACATCATCGATCCCCAAAAGTTGTGTGTATCATAGTGATAAGTACCATCGTAGTTCTGGATATTGGTATCAAGAGTCTTGTTGCTGATGGATCCGGCAGCGTTCTGAATCTCATACTTGGGGTTGATGAGATCGCGCCCGGGAAGACCAGGGTACTTGGCGAGATCGTTGGTGTTGTTGGAAGCTTGACGTTTAGAGATGGAAAGTTTAGTATCACGGGTGTTGGACTCTCGAGGGTATAGTGAGCGCCTGGAAGTGCTGGAGTTGGATTGCGGTTGGAAACCTGCTGGGAATCCCGGGATTTGACGTCCTGCCGAGGCGCGAACTGGTGGTGGCTCAGGAGGGTTCTTGGACTCGGTGGAGTATGCTGCCAGATATTAGTAATCTAGAGTTTACGATGCAAAATGAGAAGGCTTACCTTCGGGATCCTCGCAAGGGTATGGGCAGAAGTTGGCGGGCTCGTTCATATCGTTCCACAAGCCATCAATATCAACGCCGGTGGCAGGGTCAAAGAACTCGGCAAACTTTTCATCCCAGTATTGCTGTGTGTTAGGGTGGAACCAATCGGGGAAGACGGTTGGGCCAGGCCAGACAGCGCCTTCAAAGAACGAGCCATTGGCACGCTTCTGGAAGACCTCAAGCTTGGCGCCGTCGTTGAAACCATCATAGTCGCCACTCCATACAGCAGAGTTGACCATCAGGATGTAGTGCTGTTGATGGGAGTGCAAGTAGTCTACTAGTTGGCGGACCAGCTCAAGCGGGTAACGCTCGGGATCAAGAGTGAACAAGCGACGGAGATCCATGTAATCGATATCTGTCCACATAGTCTACGCGTGTTAGTGGTTGAACTCAGGAATTACAGATCCTCAGGACTAACCTCGAGTGGAATGTCAGCGATTGAGTAGTTTGCCACAACTTCAGCAACTTCCCAAACATCCCTGTAACCATACTTGCACTGGTGGGAACCGAAACCCCAGTATGGCATCATGGCTGGGAGACCAGAAAGAGCAGAGTATTGGATCGCAACTTCCTTGGGGCTGGGACCGGCAAGGAAGTAAAAGTCAAAGATACCACCCAAAGTGTTGTATTCGAGGAACTGGCCTTCAGAGTCATCAATCTTGATATCCATGCCCTGAGAACTGGCAAAGAAGACACCATGGGTTCCGTTCTCGCCGCGGTGGTCGAAATAGATTGGGTGGGATCCGTACAGGTTGCTTCCAGGGGCTGTTCCGTAGGCATCTCGGTTCCAGAGCTAGGTATATTAGCATCATGAGAGCAATCTTCAGGTTTTTGAAATACTTACAGTGCGCGTGTAGTTGGTGGTGTTGAGATGGAACGAGTCGGTAGATTCACCAAGTCCGTACAGGTTCGGTGCATTTGGGAGAGCAGTCCTCATGCGCAAGTACTGTGTCTCAAAGACGAGTGACGCAGCCGAAGTATCGAAGAGCGTCTCGTTGGTCTCCCTTGCGTGTGATGGCAAAGGAGAAAGGACTGTCGGTCCAAGAGAAAGTCAGGGCAGACTTGTCAGGTTGAACACCCTCATCGGCAGAAGGACGTGGCCAGACAGATTCTTGGATTTGGAAGACCTTCTCAGCGGCGTCGTAGATCTTGACATGAAGTCGGTCCTCTATTTCCTATGGTTAGTCGCGGTCCATCAAATTGCAATGATCCTCCAAACGCACCCGTTTGGTATTCGACTTCCAATTTGAGATCGGCCAGATCATCACCATAGACGTTGCAAGCAGTGCTTGCGAGAGAGAGATCCGCAGTGACCTTGGAGCCGTCATTCTGTACATTGCTGGCGGTGTATCCAGGGCAGTTTTCGAGTGATGAGCTTTGGCGTTCGACAAGCGAACCCGCAAGAGCGGGAATCGCAGACCCAAGGACGAGAAGCCCCTTGGTGATCATGGTTTCTGCTGGTGTTGAGAGTACCAGAGACCTGTATCGATGCTGATCTCTGGAGGATCTCAACGTCCTCTTATACCTGAGTCTGCGCCACAAAACACTTTAGGTCATGCACCATCACAACAAGAAATGCACTGTGATCTCGGTTCAGGCTTTCCGTTTGCATACTACAGTAGCTCCAAATGCACCCAAGACCCGCTCCCCGCAATGCCGTCACCAAGGACTGTTCGTCGTGCATGGCTTGGCAAAGCCTTGAGGACCAAAGAAGCAACTTGACAAGGCTATTGGATCCGGAGAGGCACACTACGAGTACTTGGCAGCCCGGAAACGCTGCCATTTTGGAGCTGGGGTTAGGCGCGAATTGCCCGAAGCCTGGGGTTATGGGGTAGAAGCAACGGAGCTCAGCTTGTTCACTCGAACGTGAAGCGGGAAACATAGCGTGGGCGTAGATGAGACGTTCCGATTGGCTACATGTCGGACCATCGACAGATCGATTGGCCCGCTGTCGGACCGGCCGAAGTACCATCTTCCGAGGTATGGAGATGTGGTTACCAAGAAGACGGCGGCAGATTAGAGCCAACGCAGAAATAATTAGGAATTTCTAAGGTGGAACAGGCGAGTCCAGACGTCCATCAACGAGCACATCACATGCATACTCGACACAACATATGCCAAGCTGAGCAGCTGTATTTCGTACTGTGAGGAAATGGAGGCTACAAGAATTCAATGACATTGTACATATTGCCGAGTGCACGCCATTGCTATATCAATATGGATCAAGGTGTAGAGCGAAGTTGGCTACAAACGATCCAAGACCTAGGCGTTATTACAATGTACATGATAAGCAAAATCAAGTAGTTGACATGGAATATAGAGACCAAATACAATACATACAATGACCCCATTTCCAAGGTTATGTCCCAGTTCAAGAACCTGGAGACTGAAGCCCTGTGCACGGACCACAGAACTAGCGCGTTCCCTTCTCCGAAAAGTTCAAACGCGACAGGCAGCTGTCCTTTAACATCACCAATAACAAACAACACGACAAAATGCTTTGCGCAATCTCTGGCGAAGCTCCCCGCGAACCCGTTGCCTCGCGCAAGAGCGGCAATGTCTTTGAAAAGCGTCTCATCGAAGCACACATCGCGGAACACCACACCGATCCCGTTACAGGTGAGGACCTCGCGACTGAGGACCTCATCGAGCTCAAATCGCCCAATGTTGTTACCCCACGCGCGCCAAACTTCACGTCGATACCTGCCATGCTCAGCGCCTTCCAGAATGAATGGGATGCCATTGTATTGGAGACACACACGCTCAAGCAACACCTTGCGCAAACAAGGCAGGAGCTGAGCACTGCGCTATACCAAAACGATGCTGCAACAAGAGTGATTGCACGGATTACAAAAGAGCGCGATGAGGCCCGTGAGGCTCTGTCGAATGTTACCATCAGCGGAGGCGGCCAGGGTGATGCGATGCAAGTTGATGGTCAGGGTCTGCCTGAAGAGCTCGTGGCAGTTGTCGATAACACACAGCAAGAGTGAGTTTTTTCCCGCGTTGATTGGCCTTTATTTTGGGCCGCTGGGTGTCTAGCTCATAAGAACCTGGAAGGATAAGGCTAACGAGAAATAGATTATTTGCATCACGTCGAAAGCGAGCTGTACCGGCCGATTGGACATCTGCAGAAGATGTGTCCAGATTCGACTTGGCCCAGACGACCGATGCCATTTACCCTGGCGCCAGCAGTGTCGCTACAAGCGAATCCAATATGGTATTGTTTGGCGGATCAGACGGCAATGCGGGCGTCTATGACTTGGCAGAACAGAAGGTTGTACAGACATTCAACGCAGGTAGCGCAGTTACAGCAACAGCTTGGTGCGGAGATCGTGCAATTGTTGGAACTTCGGCTGGTACGGTCAAGATATTCGAACAAGGCAAGGAGATTGCACAGGTGGGATCACATGCCGGAGCTATCACATCCATGTCCCTGCACCCCAGTGGAAAGATGCTCGCAACAGCTGGTACCGATAAGCACTATGCCGTCCACGAACTTACGACGTTCAAGACTGTCTCGCAAGTCTATGTCGAGGCGGAAATCACATGCATATCATTCCACGTCGACGGCATGCTCTTTTTCGTCGGCAGCTCAGATGGCAACGTTCGTGTCTACGACATCAAGACCGGCACCCAGATGACATCTCTCGAGATTGGCGCTCCTATCGTGGATCTCAAGTTCTCTGAGAATGGAACTTGGTTCGCTCTCGTGCAACAAAACTCTTCCAGTGTTACCATTTGGGATATCCGGAAGCAGTCGGTGGTTCATACGCTCGAATCAGGTAGCCCTGCCACTAGCTGCAGGTGGGACCACAGCAGCATGTACTTGGCCATCGGCGGGACAGGCAGCGTGTCGGTGCAGCAATTTACCAAGGCCACGAAGAGCTGGGCCGAGCTCGTTAGGAAGGCAGCGCCAGCGAAGGATATTGCCTGGGGTGGCAAAGCTGCAAGCCTAGTAGCTTTGACACCAGAGGGTGGTCTAGCGGTACTCGCAGCGCCCTAAGCAGTGATAGGCTGCAATATGCGAGTCTTATCATTCTATAAGGGCTACCGAAACAAAAAAGGTGAAGTTTGAGCCATGTCGCACACGACTGGAATCACGGAGGAGGGGCACAGGACAGTGTGTTGAGAAGGCCTTGGACCAGACTGGCCAGAGCCAAGTCGGTGCATACGTCAGAAGATGAAAACAGCCATGGTAGGCGATGTTTTCTGTTGCAAATACACAGGCTCAAAGTTGGATATAGCGTTGCTGTAGGTATATGAAACGTCCTCAGGACAATCAAAGAAGAAATTATTCATGTCGCACTACATCACGTTATTGTTCATGTATGTGCGAGGCACTGTGAATAGGCTGTAAACGGTGCGAGAGCTCATATAGAAAAAACAGAAATGTGAAGAACAAAATGGATCCCCATTGTTCAGCGTAGGGGTATTGGTGAATGACAATCTGCGGTAATCTTTGTGCTGGTTGTCGGATCGTTTCCGAGGTGCCATCCTTGCCACCAGCAACGAGTTTCGCCGACCTGAACACGCCTGCCACGCCAGCGCTACGACACTTTCACGGCCCTCACATCGACATTGTCGATAACGGCAGTCATCCTCACGGCATACCCCGCATCGCTCCTGTCTCGTACATCCGGCATGGAAGAAGAAGGACTGCCATTTGGGTACACGCACGGACAGCACAAGGTGAGTGCCGGTCATACCAAGAACCCGAGCGGAACAGGGTACAATGGGAGTTGGACGCTGGCTGACCCTGAGCAGCGCTCACATGCACAAATGGACGAGGAGGCAGGTTCCACCTCACCAGCCTGGAGATATCAAGCCTTTGCCGAACAACGCGAAGCTCCTCACCACTACGACGCCAGTCACACGGGCCTCACGCTGAACGACGATTACGCGCCTGCACCCCTCGACCAACAGCGACGGACCCCAACATTCGACGACGACGACGACGACGACGATCCCCCAACCCACTACCAGGCCTTTGAACAACGACCAACACCTAACTTAGACTCGGCATTGCGTTCTCGCGGCTGGGAGGAAGTTGCTCCCAGACACATCGACCGTGCTCCGCCTGCAGCGACAAGCTCCCGCCCCGGCAGGATGATGCGCCTGGAAGGAGTGCGGCGAATGATACCACGGCGTTATGTCGGCGATGGATTCGACTTTAGACGGCCAGCTAGCGCAGCACAAGAGCAAGAAGCAGGCTCCGTCGACTTGACTGGGGATGATGATGACGACATCATGGTTGATATGAGAAGAGACGATGTTATTGACCTCACTGCCGACGATTCCGGATATGGTGCTAGCCAGGACGGTAATAATGGTCAACAGCGACCGGCTGAGAGGGTACAAGAGCAGCAAGAGTCGAGTCGGGCTCGCCGTGGGAATGGCGCACCCCGACTACCGCGAGGCATGGACATTATCATCGACCTGGATAATGGCGAGGAGGAGTGGCGAATGGCGACACCACCAGCACCCGAAGTACCCGAACCGAGCTCGCCCGACATACAATTCATATCATCACGAGCTATAGAAGGTAGACGTCTCCCGCCGCCAACAATGGGTGGCAACAATTCCGACGATGAAGTGGAATTTCTGCGAGAGGTCCCCCTCCCTGAAGCAGAGGTAGCAAGGCGTCGGGCGCAAGAACTAGACAATGTCTTGGATCTTTTTGGTACTTTGAATGGCCGCTTCACTCATCTTCGAGCACAAGTTGACCGTTTTCACGCTTCCGTCCATCGTACAGCAACCCGCTTAAACGAACCCATCGCTCCTCACCGCTCGCGTCATGCGCATATTCGAGTAGGTGCTTTTGTAGCACCTGCATTGGACTTTGACGCTGTAGCGTTTGATCTCGGCCCGCGGGGGCGCGATTCAGTACCTCCCCCACCAACGTACGAGGCACCTCCAAAAGCGCCAGAAGGCTTCACGAGGAGCCCAGAAGAGGAGGATGCGCTGATATGTCCGAACTGCGAGGAGGAGCTTTGTGTGGGTAGCGATGATATCAAACGACAGGTATGGATTGTCAAGGGATGCGGTCACGTAAGCATACTTCTATATACAATTCCTAGCCATGGACTAACATCAAGACAGGTTTACTGTGGCGAATGCACTGCGAATCGAAGTGCTAAGCGGAGTGCAAAGGGCAAGGAAAAGCCAACCAACACGGAGCCTTTCAAGGTTTGTGTAGTCGACGGCTGTGACAAGAATGTGTCGTCGAAAAAGGCCATGATCCAGGTATTCTTATAAGCTTCAAGGCTTACGAAGTCAAGAGGTGGACAGTTGCAAGTTTTCCCAACTCTATTTCTTATCAGGGTCAGTTTTCGGCTAGGGGATGGTTGGGACTTTTTCACGATACCCAAGCTTCCATCGTTATGTCTCTTTCTGCAGGATTTCCTCCCACAGTATCCCATGTCTTAAGTTACTAGGCGCTGGGGTTGTTGTATTTGCATAACACGGAGTTGCTGTTCCGGATAGTGTGGCACTTGTCATTTACACGTTCATCTATCACAATATAGTAAACAATATGACTAAATGTGATTCATGATGTGTCGTTGAATAGCTGTTCCAACACCATGTTCCCGTCATGTTCGGACGCAAGAGGACGCAGAGCCTCAAATGTGATGGACGTATCATGATCTCATCGCACGTGGGCCCCCGGCATCGGCCGCGCCAAGCGAGCAAGGGTCTTCAGGTACGCGAGCCGAGGCCTCGTCAATAATCTGAACTTGGTACAAAGTGGCCTCGGACACACATCAACCACGACCAACAAAACCCAGGGTCCAGGTTCCCGCAATTGATACTCCTACACTCCTTTCCACCCATCTTCAGAGAGAGTAAAGGCAGGGACTGTCGGTGCAACAATGTCATCCAAATCAAAACCCGCCCAGGCAGCCGCCCCAAACGACCAGCGACCAGCAAAGCAATCCGGAGGCGTAAAGAATGCCTACCTCGTTGCTTACAACGCTGTTTCCGCAGCACTCTGGACGGGCGTGCTCGTTCAAACCCTTACTGTCGGCAGCCGGGAAATTATAACCGCACAAAAAGCCGGCGCTTTCTTCGGCAGTGACGACTGGTTAACTGCGACGAAGAAGGGGTTGGCGAGTGGGAGGGTTTATGACGAGTTGGAGGTTTATACTAGGATGGTGCAGACGCTTGCGGGTATGGAGGTGTTGCATAGTCTGTTTGGTATGTATTTCTGGGATGTACTGGAGGAGCAGTGTGGCTAACAAATACAAAAAGGTATCGTACGCGCACCCCTCCTCACAACATTAATGCAAGTAGCATCGCGCTACCTCCTCGTCCACCTCGTCGCCTCGCCCCCCGCCTTTCCCACATCGACCCGGCACTCCCCCGCCTATAGCACCATGCTGCTCGCCTGGAGCGTAACAGAAGTGATCCGGTACTCCTATTTCGTTTTCTCGCTCTCTGGTCTTGGGGTACCGAAAATTTGGACTTGGTTGAGATATAATACGTTTCTTGTGCTGTACCCGCTTGGTATCGCGAGTGAGTGCTGGCTTGTGTACAAGGCTATTCCGCTAGCAAAGGAGCGGAATGAGTTGTTTGCGTATGCGTTTTGGACCGTGTTGGCGGTTTATGTGCCTGGTAGTTATGTACTTTTTTCGCATATGTTGAGTCAGAGGAGGAAGATTGCGAGACAGAGTAGGAAGGCTTGAGGAGTAGGATAGGTGTTGGGTGGGTTATATACATGAAAAGGGAGAGAAGATGGGAAATTCCCTGACTGTGGGAATTTCAGAGTAGGGAAAGTTAATAGGGTCTTAGCATCATATAAACACAAACATCTAATCCAACCCGCTCTCCATCCCTCTACCTTCCTACTCACTCCTTCCCCCCCTCCCCCGGCCCCTCCTGTGCATTCCTCTCCCCAACATCCAAAGCCACCAAAAACCGACTCACGCAATTGTAGGCCGCCACCGTCGCCGTAATCTCCACAACCTCCTTCTCACTAAACTGCTCTTTCAATGCTGTAAAAACTTCTTCTGGAACAGTTACGTCGAGCGTCATAGCGTCTGTGTAGGCGAGTACGGCGGAGAGTTTGGGGCCGAGGGTCTGCGCTGGGGATGGGGTATGGGGGACATGGGTCAGGATTGTTGAGGTGTGCGTTGGTGTTATTTCTGGGGGTGGGGTGTTAGTGGGGGAGAGAGGAAGGATAGGAGGGGGGAATGGGATGGAGGAAATATTTACCAGGTGAGGAGTTTAGGAGGGGAGAGTGGGAATCCCATTCATACCAAGCTTTGTTTAACACGGCGACGCGGCAGATTGCTGTTTCGCGGACCGACGTGGGGAGGCTGGTGCCTGTGCGGATAGCGCCGAGGAAGGAGTTCCTGTGGTGTGTGGTGTTACAATGGTTTGCTGTTTTGATATCGGTGACGTCTACTGAGGCTCTGCTCTTCATGTAGTTCAAGTACATCCCTTAGTTATGCGCCCTAAACATCATAATCTCACGACAGAAATTCTTGTACTCACCATCCATCAGCAACAGGAGGAGCATGAAGCAACGTCCTATCCAAAGCAATAAGGCCTTTCTCGCCCCGTCTTTTCCTAACCCGCTGCTCGACGGCCTTATCGTCTTCGTTTGTGAAGTTGGGAGGGTCGGGGACGTATGGGAGACGCATGATGTGAGAATTGACACTTGGAATGCGTGATTATGGTTTCAGATTCTTGTTCACGTTTGCTGTGCTTGTGCGGAATCACGCCGTTTTTATAGGGAGATACGTGGGATAGATGACTCAAGGAATAGCGAACGTCAGGTATCCCGAGGTGGTCGGGATTAGACATCGGAACGCGTTCCGAGAGAGGGGAGTAACGGAGGGGGAAAGCGGCGGAAGCGCGAATCACACCTTCTCGCTTAGAAAGAGAACGAGACTTTCACCCTCGACTTTCTGTGTCTGCCAAACAAGTTCTAATTTTCAATAGCTCGGAATTGCCGGATCTACTGGTCTACCTCGCGGATAGTCATGGCGCCAAATTCCAAACTCAATGCAAAGCGCAAGGCGCAGAGAGAGTCGACCAAACAACCTGGAAAACCGCGAGCCGAGCGCCGCCCAAACGAAGATTCAAAGGCGCAGTACATTCCCATTGAACTTCAACAACTCCTGCTCAATATCTTCCGGAACTCGTTTGCTGAACATTTGAGTTCGGATTTTGCGCCGTTGCTGCAGGAAGTCAAAGGTCATTTGTACAATCGCGACTTTGCGACTGCTTTTGGGAAGAATGAGTATCTTGAGGTGTACGCGGCGAGGTGGAGCCCAAGTCGAGCGTTGGGGTATTTGGATTTGTTATGGGAATTAAGGGATCATTTGGAGTTTGTGAGTGAAAATTCGGGTGCGGATGGAGAGGAAGAGAATGGGAGGAAGAGTTACAAGGTTGTGTGTTTAGGTGGAGGTGCTGGCGCGGAAGTCGTGGCATTGGGGGGATTGCAGAAGTTGCTTTCGACTTTAGACCCACAAGAGGAGGGAGATGATGAGAAGAAGAAGAAGAAGCCAAGGAGGATGGAGATCTCGGCCGTTGATATTGCAGACTGGAATGTCGTGGTGGAGAACTTGGCACAGCATCTCACGACCACACCGGTACTGTCAAAGTACGCTTCGGCCGCTGCAAAAGCTGCAAACGTCCCGTTCGCCAATCCGGAGGATATTTCTATTACGTTCCACCAGCACGATGTGCTTCAAGCTTCTACACCTGCTATAAACTCGCAGCTTGCAGAGGCTAGCCTTGTAACCCTGCTCTTCACACTCAACGAACTTTACACGACATCACTGCCTCTGACGCAGAAGTTCCTGCTACACGTTACCTCTGTCCTTCAGTCTGGAGCCTTGTTGTTGGTAGTGGACAGCCCCGGAAGCTACTCGTCAGTTACTCTCAACGGCGCAGAGAAGAAGTACCCTATGCAGTGGCTACTGGACCATACGCTGTTGAATCAGGCGAGCAGCAACAAGAATGAACGGGGCAAAGAGGAGATTGCAAGCTGGGAGAAAATCACAGAGGATGACAGCAGGTGGTTCAGATTGGACGACAGACTGCAGTATCCAATCGAGTTGGAAAACATGCGCATGCAAATGCACCTGTATCGAAAACTATAAATAACCTCCAGTCCACGCGGCGGATATGGTGCGACATTGTGGATGTCTCAGGCTGCCCTCACCGCAACTCGCAGCTTCTACAACATCATTACTCAGGCCGAACAAAGGCTCATGCAAGAACACCACCCATCCCTACCAAAGGGAGCCATTCGTCGTCTGTTATAGGCGCCGGCAGTTGAGTCGTAATGGTGGATATTAGGTGCGGCGTCATGGTTCGACTCATCAGACGAGTACCTGCCTCGTCGCTGGAGTCAGTCGACTAACGCCGCTGATGGACATGATTACGGAAGTCTAATCCGAGAAGCATTGAGAAGCTTCATTATGGCCGAGGTTTGGTGGCCCCAAGCCGGAATTTGTAGTCAAACGATCGAGATAATCTTTTCCATTTCACTTGTTTAACTCTCCACCTCGAACTTCAGTGACACTCCATCCTCTTGTCCGATCCCGCCCGTTGCCATATATCTGATCCGGTCGGTTTATCCCAGAGTCGACCCGTTCCATCCTCACACTGGAGCGTAGTAGTTCTTTTGTGACGAGGATGCTTCCGAGATTTGGTTGTTCTTCTTGGCTGTGGCTGTGGCTGTGGCTGCGGAGACTGGCAAGGCTGCTTCCAGAACTTTTTGGCGTTTCGCGTAGTCGAGTGCTTTCATATCGACGTAATAGGATGGCGATCAAGGGAACCAAAAGCAGCAGGAAAAGGATGGCAACTACGATGCCGATGATGGCGGCAGGACTGAAGCCGTCGCTGCGCGAGCCCGCATTTGGAATGGTGGCCGGAGGAGCTTCGGGGATGACGGAATCTGTATATACAGGCGGCATGTTCTCGAAGCGTATTTGATTGCAAGAGCAAAAAAGTGTAAACAGAAATGTTTCGGAATCTCGATCGTAGACTGGTTGGGAGGGTGTGGTGATGGAAGGCAAATGGAACAAAAAAGTATGGAGAGTAGAACAAAAGACCCAGAGTGTGGGCGCGGGTGTAACGAGAGAGATATGCCGGGGCAAAACAAGCAGACTTGTTTCGAATAAGAAAGTCTGTCAAAGGGCCAGGGTATCAAAAGCAAGGTCGGATAGCGACAGAAAAGGTGTGAAGGGATATGCTGGGTTGTTGCCAGATTATGGGTAGTGAGAACACGAGGGGTATTTGATTCGCATTAACAGTCTTTCTAGAACAAGAACCCTTACACGCCCTTTGCATGCGTATCCCGACACCTGCTCAGCTTCTGCTGGCCATAGATGTGTGACGGCTTGCTAGCGTCGTCAGTGACCCGGCATTGTAGCAGAGATATTGGTTCTCGGGCAAAGTTAGTGGCGTTTCTGTGCAGCCAATCATGGCGTGTCCATGGCGCAAGGAGGCAAACTTGTGAGAAGAGCCGCACGCCAGGTGACTTATGCGGAGAGAAGAAGATTCCTTCGCGTCCGTGGTGCGCGGCCAATCGTGGGCGTGCGTCGATAGTAGATAATATAGGGCTGTCGGCCGGTCTGCGTAGCAGAGTGGGAGAGGGCTGTTCGTTGGATCCGGATGTGAGCGATGTGAAGCAAGCGGTGAGGAGGCGAGGCGTCTTTTTGTGCGAACCATGGATTGGCGCAAGTGACAAATTTACTGAAGTAGACCAGTTGTTGGTGGTTAGGGTTGTGGCTTATCCAGCTTCGCTAGCGATCTTGGTGGTCGGCTGTTGCCCCTCACCCATTCTTACTCGACACCTGGACATCGGTTCACGATGCTAGCAAGTACCGGTAAGCGCGCGTTCAGCTCTGTATGCATAGTGTTTGCAGCTACAGCCTGTCATCTGTAAGCACATGGCGGAAACCAAGGTATTCTTACAAATCTCAACCACCAAGAAAGGAAGGTACTTCGGTACGGTCTACAGCATCCGACGGATAATTGTACAGTACAGTCATTACAACGGGAACGGTGTTCCGTCTTTATTCGGGGACTCCCAGCTTACATGTCATCTTAAGACTGTGTTCTTTTCATTTCAGAGTTCCAGTCTCTCTACGCTATCACGGAGCACCGGGAGGCAAGCGCCGCCACGTGATGTCATTCCAACCAGTCTCCGATTCACGGTTCTATCCCCGGCATCGACGACGCCACCTAGATCTTGCCGATAGCCCCAGCGAGGCTACGTGCTAGGTTATTTGTCACAAAGGAGAACATACGCAGTCTCCAGGCTATATAAGCGTGGATAAGAGCAAACCATCACTCCACAATCTTGTGCGTTCCGGGCCCGGAAGCTTCTATATCCATCCAGGGCACGAAATCTCCTTGATCTTTGATCGAAGGAGATTGTTCCCTTGCGACTAGGAAGATTCACAGGGCCCTAGGCAGGAACTCCGTCAGGTCCGGCACGATATGGTTTGATTCAATGACAAGGTGAGTGTGTAACCACGAAGACGCAGATTTGCATATATTTCTCAGGGGTTACAGCATCATTACATTCGCAGCCTCAGGTTTCGTCACGTTTCGACGCGTCTGACAAGCTGTCAGTACGCAGGTTCATGCGGCGACTCATTGGCTCACAAAATGTCAGAAAAACACATCACTTGAAGCCACAAAAGCTTGGTAACCTAGAGGAGATCGACATGCAATTCCTCCCGACTATGTGGCTACTTGCGCATGTCTGTGGGCTTCCCCGATGAGCCCGGTACTCGGGATTGCGTCGCTTTCAGTCTAGTCACGAGGCTAGAATCGCAAAGTGCAAGACGGGCTCTGCACGGGTATTTGTTTACGGGAAAAGAAGGATCAAGTTACTTTTGTGGCGGAAGATTCTACATCATCAGGTTTGGGTAGAGAGTTGGCGCTTGGAATTTGAGGTCTAGACTTTTCTTTTGAATAGTTAAATTGATATAAAGCAAAGTCATACCGCTTTCTGAATATCTATCCACAAAAGCGTACATTGCAGTCGCATCCATACACAACCATCCTACACAATAACAACAACATCACCATGAAGCTCACTACCTTTCTCACAGTGTCGATGGCGACACTCGCCTCAGCTAGACCATACCTCAGTTCCGATTCCTCCAATTCACATATTTGGGCGCCTGCCATACCAGGCCAAGGTAAGCAAACCCCCTTCCACTACATCGTCACCCGCACTAACACATCCAGTCCGTGGTCCGTGTCCCATGCTCAACACCCTAGCAAACCACGGCTACATCCCCCGCGACGGCCGCAACATGACAAAATATAACGTCGTCTCCGGCCTGGTAAACGGCATAAACTTCGAGCCTGTACTAGCCGGCATCCTCTGGCAAGAAGGCCTCGTCGTAAACCCCGACCCAAATGCTGTATCCTTCACTTTGGATCAACTTAATGCGCACAACGTGCTCGAGCACGATGCCAGTATGTCGCGCGCAGATGCGGCTTTGGGAAACAACCATGTCTTCAACGAAACTGTCTTTCAGAGCTCAAGACGACACTGGACGGCTGAGACGGTTACGGTTGATATGATGGCGGACACCACGATTACACGTCAGAAGGATAGTCATTTAACGAATGGGAACTGCGATTTATCGGCTGCGAGGGTAAATTCCTGTATTGGACAGGCCGGTATACCGATTACTGTGTTTGGAAGTATTGAACAGGCTACGGTTAGGCGCTCAGTTATCGAGTTTTGGTTTAGTAAGTCTATGATCCACGACTACCTAGTCAAGTATCATAAAACTAACAGAGATGCAGGGAATGAAAAGTTTCCGACGGAGCTTGGCTGGTTCAAGAAGACGGATCAGATTACTCTCTCAAAAGTCCAGCGCATCGCTGGTCTGGTTCAAAATGCAGCGGACCGTTTACAGGCTGGTGATGCGAATAAGAAACGTCGCAGTGGGACGCGAGATTTGCATGGTGGTTTGTTTTAAAGTTTGGACATGTAGAATATTCCTTGTATCATTAGTAACGGCCTGTTAACGACAATAATCATAATTCACTCTTACTGTAGAAGCAATTATATTGGCGATATCATGCTCCATATCCAACGTCGTAACCTTTGTGGCTGAAGCGGGGAAAGCGCCGAAGTCCCCAACTGATCACGTCCGTAAAGTGGAGTGAAGTTGGGGGGGGGGCACGTGAGAAGTGGCGCAACGTTCTTGTCACGGTTGCGGAACAGGATATCCATGAAGTTACTGTGCCACACACGGCATGACAGCATGTCAGAATTCTTCCCCTCTCATTTCTCGTGTATGGAATACGTCACCGTGCTATGGTTCTCAAACCCCATGAAAACAGAGACCGTGTTTCACCGTTGGTTGGCGAAACGGACGGAAACTCCGATACACTGCCACGCACACGTCAACTTGTCGATGAACTTGACAGGCAGGTTTTTCGACGTCATGACGGAGCTTCATCGTCGATTCTATTACCAAGAGCCTGCAATCAATCGGAATCATATCGCCACAAGTGTGAATGCGATCGGCTGGCTTGGTACCGTCATGAGGAGCTTGCTAAATGCGTAGATATTATCTGCCGCTGGAGGATCTCTCGGGCGGTGAGGGTACTAGTACTGTGGGTTGCAGGCTGCGGGGTGAGCAAGCATAAACTTATCACCGCTCCGTGTCTCAGATATGTTTGTTCCCGAGCATCGTACCAACGACGCGCCAAGCTTGCGAAGTGCTGTTTCGTCCGGCTTTCGACTGCTATTTGCCGATTACAAAATGTTGTGCGCAGTAGTCCGGTTACAGCAAAGGCCTTGGTGAGTGTCAAACCCGCCACTTCTTGTAGTGGCGAGAGGCAATAGACAGACTTCCAGCAAGTAACCCGGTTTGTTTTCAAAATCTGAGCGTAGAGGAAGCCAGGAGACAGAGCCTGTCCCGACTGCTACCGTTAATGGTAACCCTGAGCAATGCATGCACTTGAACAAATCTCATCCAATCTAAACTCCTATCCAGTGGAAAGGAACTGTATAGTTATCGCACCCTCTTGCAGAAGCCGCAGTCGCTCTGGCCTTTGGCAAATCATTCTCGAACACATATTTGTGTGCTGCAATGAACAAAGTGCATGAGGCTGAACGTCGAATGTTTCACTCCGTACACTGCAGACGCCATGCATCGTGCATCCGGTGTGCAAGAAGGGGCTTGCAGTTCAGGATTCGATACTGCATGCAAATCTTTCGCTAAATGATCGTTGGTTGAATCAAAAGTCTGGGAGTTCAGCTCGTGACGAGGTGCATGGAGGGCAACGGCCGAAGGCGATAAGGTGCGTCGACGTTGCAAACTGCGAACTCGTGTTTCTCAGCTGCTTCTAGACGGGACCTATCGCGACTGAACGCAAGATGTTAGTCAGTGCATCTAGTCCATTGCCGTGCTATTGGCTATACGCGCGCCTGGAATCTACACGTCTACGTGTCAGCATCTGTAAGAAGGTAATGCTCTAGAAGGAGCTCAGTTGAGTACAGAAATGTATGATTGGATTGCTCCACGAGGAGACAAGTCTGTCTTACGAAGGACAAATACCAGCGCAAAGGGCCTTGTGCGACTATCGGACCGTATTTCGAAGTCCCTCATTTCATCGTTGGATGAAATGCTCAACATGACAAAGGGCAACGGGTGAGTGATGGTGTTAGGCGGCCGTACTTCGAACGAGCAACAGTGCAGTCTGCAGGATACGACGGTCGCTTATGGTAGTCGGTTGCCTTCTTTCCATGGGAAGTGGAGAGCGGAAGCACTGACCATCCCGAGACCATGGCGTCCCATTAGCGTCCTTGATAGCGCCAGACTCTGGTTGAACGTTCATGAGCAGTTCTCCAATTTCCTGGACCAACTCATTCCTTTACTCGAGCAACACGAGCGAAATGATACCCGAGACTGCATTGTTGCCCACAGTAATGCGTATGGTAAAGAAAAGCTGCCAGATGTGGCCAAGTTAAGCGACATCAGCTCGATCGTCATCATCAGGCTACGTTCAACACACCTAGGCTGGTCACCTCCTGAACGCTGTGAGTCCTCCATATGCATGCGGGTCGCGTATGCATGTTCACGCAACCCCTCAGTCCTCCGGTCAAATCTGTGAGGCTCGATTTCCTATCGATAACACGCCATGGCCCAAGCGAACGGATTGTTTGCCTGCTTTTGCCTCAGCCTAGCGGCTTAGACCGGTGAGCGTCCTGATACTGACACTTGAGGCCGGGCCCGAGTGTGTCCTCCACTTGAGCCAATAGAAACCCGGCTTAAATTTACCTCGCGCAAGAGGGTAGATGTGAGGGTTGCACGCCAAGCGGAGGACCTATTCGGTTGCGTCAACTTGGCACCACCAATGCTGGATGATCAAGGTGATGATAGCAGAGCCGCGATGAGACAGAAATAATTTTTTCATTCTCTGGTTTTTTTCAAATACTTCTCATATTCCTTCATTTTGAACCTCGCCTCGTCATTCATTCCCCACTATCTTATCGACGTGGGACCTCGTCCAGATCTACTATTCTTCATCAGCACATACTATATTATTTCATCAACCTCACAGGCAACAATGAACCACCAAATGGGGCAGCCATCACAGGGTCAATACCAAGGACAAATGCCTCAACATCAAAACGTTGGCCAACAACGGCAAGCCATGAGTGGGCAGATGCCTTCCATGGGGATTCCAGGGCAACAAAAAACCCAAACCCAAAGTATCAATCATCATACACACTTGGCCTCCTTCACTATTGAGAAGCCCAGGAACGCCAATTCGTGGGAGGACGCCGTACCTGAGCAACAACACATCTCTCTTCATGAGCTGCAAAATGACTTGCACAAGTTCCGAAGAAACCATGGCAACGTCAAAAAATTGCTGAACGACATCTCTTCGCAGAATTGTCGCAGGATCATCAACGAGCTTGTTGTAGATCAGAATATGGAGCTTGCAAAGTACAATCCAGCCATCCAGTACAGGATAGCAAGTGTGGTAAATAAGTTTCAAGAGCTCCGTCGCTCCTTGGGCCGTCCGCTTCGACAGCTATTGCGTGTAGATATCATCCTGGAAGCTGAACCCTCCGCATTTCAAGGGCCCTTTGCCATGAAGGCTGGGGCTGGAAGTACTGTCGTTGGTGGTTCCCAAGACTTTGCTAAAGTCAAGCCGCCGCAACAATTACCAGGTTATCCCACCAACCAGGGTCAGACTATGCCACAGCAACAGAAGATGCATTCGCAGTACCAACCGCAACCACAACTCCAGGCTCCATATAACATGGCGCCTGGCCAGCAGTCCGAGCAGCCGCGTGGTCAGCCCCATCCCAATCCGGGACAATCCAACGGCCCTCCACCACCTTCGCCGCCGCCACCTCCACCTCCACCTCCACCTCTAGGGGCTGGCGTGGCTGGACCACCTGGAATGGCAAACCCTCCACCTCCACCCCCGCCTCCACATCATCCTCAGCAAGGAGGTCCCGCTATGCCCGGGCATCATATGCAGAATCCACCACAAGCTGGACGAGGTATGCCTGGTCCTGCGGCAGGATCAATGTCAATGCATCCCATGGCAGGAAACATGCCGCAACATCCTTCAAGAGGAGGTCCCGGTCCGGCGGTCGAGGTCATCAACCCTGAATACCGCAGGGGTGAGAAAGCAAAGGCCAGGGATCCTCGCAATATCTCTGACTGGTCATCCGAGAGTGATGAATCCTTTGAGGATGACTCTGAGGACTCAGGTCTTATTAACATTGAGGTCCGTCAACACACACGTGATCGTTCACAGCATCCCCAAAGTTCGAAGAGTAAGAAACATCGAACACAGAGTAAGAGAGGCCGGAGCCATAGCCGCAGCCGGAGCCGTGGTCAAGCTCGTAAAACTATGTACACCGAGAATTCGGGGCGAAAACGCCGAGAATCCATCACCATGGACGAGCGACACATGAGAAGTCACAGCAAGAATCCATCTAATGGAAACTCGCCACAATTTGCGCATGCCAAACTCTCGAGTCAGATTCCACCAAACATTCATATCCATATGAACGCAGCCAATGCCACGGAAGATCGGACACGCAGTGGCAACGTATCTCCTACTGATCTTTACAATGAGAAGATGAAAGCTAAAAAGCTTCATGCAGCACACGATATGTCTCGTGAGTCTTCAGGTTCGTCGTGGGATCGTGCAAGCGGCACTGATTCTTTAAACACATCCTCAGTTCATACAGCAGAGGATAGTATCTTCGATAAGAACATGCGCCGCCCGTCGAATCAGACCCAAAGTCACACTCGCCGCAGGTCAATTTTCGGAGCAAAGCCTCAAGCAATGTTCGGTGAACCGCATCCTGGTCCCATTTACGATGACGTCGAGCCCCGTCTGGCACAGAAAGCTAGGTACCCAAGGGGTCCAGTGGGAGACTATCAATATACTCCACATATACACTCGCGCATGCAAGAGCGTGAGCATGACTCGTACTTTGACGAGCAACCAATCTACAACCCCCGTCCGGAAGCCCCCTTTCGTCGCAACAGCATGGCCGTTCCTCCCCACAACCCATACTTGCAATCCAACTTCCCACCCAAACCGATGCGCTCGTCTACATATGCGCCAGAGATACATGACAGGAAGTACAAAGTACCTCAGCAGCCACAAATCGAAGCAGAACCTGCTGAGCTGGTTAATCTACGCGAAATCCGGGATGCGCTTGAGCATATACAGGAGCAGAAGAAGGCAGATTGGCGCTACAGGAGTCTTCCGAACCCCATGGCAAGAAGGAATTCTGCTGCGTATTATGAACATGATGAGTGGTATGCCAAGGCTCCTCCTGCCGGAACGCGACGGGAGGCGTATGATAGGTTTGCTTAGTACTCGTTTCTGCTCTACTCTTTTCATCAATCTTGTGGGATGTATAGAAAACTTTCGGCTTCATCTAAACATTTGGGCCATTCCTTTTTGGTATAGCAACACTCGTTGCAACTTTCGATTACGGTACTTCATCACGTCATCGGAGTTTCTACATTTTCGGTTGTCGGCTTTGGTAGATTTATTCAATATATGGGATACAAGTACGATCATCCACACGATTAGGGACCCATAATGGTCTTTTGGCAGAACAGATCTGAAACAGATATAAGAAATAAATATGCACGATAACCCACTGCAGTGATCGTGGATGTGGGTGTGGGAGGGGTGGTGGTAGAGGATAAGGCAGCCGAGTGTGTCTGCGTATGGGAGTTGGCCGAATACATACAACTATTGCGCGATGGAATTATACGGACATGAAGGACACGTTCCCACTCGGAGAAGTCGTATACGCGATTGGTGGTGGGTGACGTGAGGTAGGCGCGAAGAGGGTCCGGGCTCGCTATTATGTAGGATGGAGATGCCGTGGGGTACAGATGTACTGTTAAGTATCGTGCGGAGCCTTAAAACTCGAAATCACTAACGATCTTTTCCGCAGTACATTACGTTACCTAAAAAAACTCACAATAAATAACCACTTATATTCTCATAGCTTTCAGGCCTTCACGTTACTTTCTACTATGCATCAACATCTAAGACAATAACTCTCATCATTCATTGTTGCGCTAAACTGTTCGCTAGGCAGCGGTAATGTGCCTCACTTCTTGTTTCCATCCTCTCCCTTCTTTGATTCCTTGTAACTATACCCCCGTGGTGGCTCCCCGTCGCTTAACTGCTTCTGCAGGTCTTTGAATTTTGCATCTCGCTCTTCAAGTATCTTCTTGAGCCTCTCGTCTTCTGCGTCTGCCTCGTCATTCCGTTTCTTCAGGCTCTCAATATGGTCGTTCTTTTGTTGTACGAGATTTTTCGATAACGTATCCTGGACACTCTTGAGTCTTGCCTCGAGATCATCGCAGCGCACGCGCCAGGCTCCGTCATTTTTTCCAATTTGGAGGTTGGCCTGTTCATATGCTTGCTGTTCGATTTCACGGTTGAGTAGCTGACTTATCTCTGCGCAGTCGAGGCAGAGACCACCGCGCAGGCCCTTGCAGCAGTCTAGGGTGCGACCAAGTTTTGCGCAAACGTCACACTCGATGTGGCCGCTGCTGCTACCTTCGTTTGAGGGAAGGGTTGGTCGGTTTTGATCGCCTTCAGGCTCCATCGGTGCTGCGATGTTGGCTGGAGAGTATGTTAGCACTGCAGTCGTCGCGCGCAGTTGCTTGTACAGAAGAAGCCCAGTTGATTTGGGGGGCAGATTAAGGTCAGCTCTTGGTTGCTAGAGGCGCAATACATATTACTATGCGCGCTGGAAGCCCCAGGAAACCACTAGTCAAGGTTATGTCACAGTTGTGGCTCACTCACACATGGTCAGTGCGCCCCGTCTACCAGTACATAAACACGGAATTGGATAGAAATCACTCGACACTGCAAGCTCTCCCCACCACCATCGCTACTCAAATTTGCCACACACTCAACTCTCTCAACCTTCTGCTTGCCACATCGCAATCTCATTGCATTGTGGCAGTAAACAAGCCGATTCGACACCGGGTATTGGCAAAGCTTAGAAATTCGGCAACACGTAAGAACACCTCACACAACGCGCAGATAGGTACTAACGAGTTCAAAGAAGGCGCCATGCCAGGTACCTTCCAAGAAGATGCAGAGAGGCCCCCGGGCGAATCATGTGGTTCTGAAAGTTCGAATACCGGCTCCTTCGTCGCGCAAGTTGCTACCCGTTTCAACAGGTCAATCGCGCCGCTTAACATGGACGACGACACCAAACTCTCCGCTGAGAAACCACATCCCTTCTCCTTCAGATTCGCCACGGCCGTCGACATCAAGAAGACATGGGAAGAGATTGAAGTGAAGAAGACTCGTCTGCAAGGTTTCGACGCATTGCAAATCATGTCGGACCTTAGCTTGTTGGAACACGCCCATATTTCCAAGGAAGCAATACTGTCGTGTCCCATTATGGACCAAGTACGTGATCTTCAGATCCATCCCAATGAAAAAATTGCTGCAAAGGCCTCTGTGGTACTCCCGCGACTAGAATCCATCATCTCACCAAAACAAGATCCTCAGCCTGAGCCCACTTCCAACGAGGGTTTTTGGGAGAAAATGATTCGACATTCGGGTCCGAGTATTTCTACATCACAGAATATATTCGATACGCCTACGCTGTTTCGCGGCGGTGCGTTAGGCCATGCTGTGAGCGCAGTAACCTCGGCCCAACTCCCACATATACCGCCTGTTCCTCCGTCATCGGGAATGCCAGATACATTGGCGAGGACGAAATCCCCAAGTCTTTTCTCAGGGTTTGCGGGAACTAGTGAGAAGCTGCCTGTGCGTTCGACAAACCCACTCCCGAAGTTAGACGCATTCGCCCAGACGACATCGCAATCGCCAGCTTGCAGTTCTTTATTTCCTTCTACAAACACAGAGAAGGTTTGCCTATTTGGATCAAGATATGGGGCTACGGATAAAGACTTGTTTCCTTCTTTTCGTCTTGAACGTCAAACTGAGCAATCTGCTTCACAATTAACGTCTCCCGGATTTCTATTCGGACATCGGAATGATCAATCAACGTCCAACGGGTTTCTCTTCGGACATGAAAATGATGCAAGGAAACAGCAAGGCTTGTTTGGTTCATTTATCCCATCTCCAGGCAGCGTACTTGCTCCAAAAGCCATGGAACAAAGATCCTCTGTGAAGAGCACGATCCCCGACAAGGATGCCACATCTGGTCTGTTTGGAAAGACAGCGTCTGATGTCTCGAAGCCTTCGGATACAAAAACTCCCCTAGACGTGTGGGCAAAAGCCGATATCAACACATACGAGGACCTTGTCGAATACCTCAACACTTCCATTGAACTGGACGAGCGGGACATACCGCTCTGGCGAGATGACCTGGGTCGTCTATGGAAAGAGGTTACGTCAGTCATCAATGAGCTTTACAGCAACGGAAGCAAAGATGGAAAGTCACTTGATAAACATCAGCGCAACAAAGAGCAATCGGGAAGCACATTAGTTGGATCAATGTGTGTCACGCTACGGAAGCTTCTCGCCGTCGATGAACAAAACATCGCCAAACAGCAAACTCGTATGGATGAGATAAAAGGGGGTATGCAAGCAATGAAAGCGAAGCTTGTATCTACCGAGGAGAGCCTAAAGAATTATTCAATAAAGCTCTCCACTATCGGAGAGCAGCTCAAAAAAGCCGAAAAGCTACTCAAGGAATTGGAAGAAGAAAATATCGAATTGAAGAAAAGGGAGAAAGACATAGACCGGATTATGGAAGAGCACGCAGCTTCGTTGAAGGAGGTTTGTGCACAGACCTTCCAAGACGTGAACTCAAAGTCACTTGAGCTGGCGAAGGCAACGAAAGAAGTGAACACGTCCAGAGGCAGCTGAAGAGCCTTGAACAGGAAAATCAAGATCTCAGCTTAACCAAGCTTACCCTGGGCAAGAAGTGCGAAGACCTCAAGGTGGAAGTGGAGAGTCTGAAAAGCTACGAGCAAGGTTATATACAAATCAAGCAGCAACTGGAGGAGCTTCAGACATCGTATAACGATGTTGTCGCCGAGCACGACGATCTACAACAACGTTTAAATGACGTGGAAACTGCCGGAACGGACGAGCCGAGGCCTGAGCCAAAGCCTGAGCCGAAGCCCAGCTCTTCTACGTCGACGTCTGCTGCACCGCGTCGGGATAACCAAAATCACACGGCTGACACGGATCGTCTCGACCTTGTGGTAAATTTCTGGGAAAAGGCCCTCAAAGAAAAGCTTGCATCGAATGACAAGACCAAGACACAGATTTCAGTTCTTGACGCCGAAATCGAGAAAGCTCAACAGGCTTTGAGTCTTCGTCTTGCACCGACAACACCTGCACCGACGGCACCTGCACTGGCGACATCTATTGCACCGACGGCGCTTGATGTACCGCCAACGCCAATTTTTTATAAAAGAGGACTTCTCGAGACCGGTATGGAGCCTTTCCCTAGAATAAGAGATTCACCGGCAACTAGGGTCGTACCTAACCCAGATCGCAGTTGGGCGGGTGTAGTGAAGAGAGGCCTGGGAAATGAATAAGATGCTCCTCTTCACGGGGAGATAGGCTGGCGCACGATCAAGCCGCCTATCTTTGACCAGATTAACTGTTGGTATCATGTCCACTTGGACCTACGCCAGCATAGCAAGAGCTTTCGTTTCCAGTGATTCCACTTTTTTCGACATGTTTTGGATACATATACAATGTACAGGGTAAAGATTGTTTAGATTGTCGCGTCAAGTATGACGATGGAGCTTGGGGCTTTCCAGCCGCGGAAGTTGACCTCCAGTGTCAGAACAAGTGTAGGCGAGGTTGGAAGTAGACGTGTCTTCATCGCAATCCAAGACTTTGCATGTACCTTAATCTAACTTTGTTGTTCCTGTCTGGGTGGAGTCTCCAAGACGCGTGTCGTCGCCCACATCTTTCGTCATTTTCCATTTCCGACAGCATTTCTCTCACCTAGCTCCTACCTACGACTATAATCCGTCATCGCGCCTCGATATCGCAATGGCGTAGGGCCTAAAGAACCCCATAACCAATGCGAACAACCAGTTATTCCGCACTCAGGCAGACTCTGTAATGCGAACAATGTCATATTTCTTCTTTCCTTTCTTGCCTTGATTGTAGGTGAAGTCCATGACAGGTTCCTTCCTCTTGATCTTCGCCTTCATCTTCCTTAGAGTGTTCTCTTGTTCTGAAATCGCTTTGTTGAGCACGTCATCTTTCTAATTCGCCTTTTCCACCCGAATCTTTAAATCGTCGATCTCTGCATTCTTCTCTGCGCATAGCCTGTTGTATTTCTCTTCTGGTGTCCCCTCCAGGTCTTTTAGCCTACCGCGCAGCTCTTCTAGCTCCTCGTGGCGCCTCGAAATCTGAAAAGTAACTATACGAGATTTTTATAACCCAACCCTAAATCTACCCATTACTGGTCAATCCCAACCCAACCCTAACCAAACCCCAACCTAGGGTCCGTGCGGTTCTAACCCAACCCCAGCCCAAGACTGGGTATATGCAACTCATTTGCCAGCGCAGCTTTTACGCTAGTTTATACTCTAGAGCCACCACTCACGCGGGATGGAACACTCGCAGTAGCCGCATGTTCGACGGAAACTTCCTTTTTGCCGCGAAAGAAGCTTTTCCAGGAATTTGTCGACAGAGAGAACGAAATGAGAATGAACAGCATCCGCGAATACTAAAACACCCGTTTAGGAGTGCCTGAAGATTGACCAGCTACTACGGGCGGCCGTAGAAACACTACTCATTCCTTCTTCACAGAGATTGCAAATTCTCGCGGCTTTCGTCCCGAATCACAACGCGCCACAAAAGACGATGCACAATCTTCCATTCCAAAGGCTACAGACGGCAGTGAAGACGGCGTTGGTCCAAACATATCACCTGTGGGGTACTATCAAGCCTCGTCGCTTGGTGATACTGGGAATGAGTGAGTTTTGATAGCAAGTCTTACTCGACCGGAGAGTACCGGCACCGAGTTCGGGTAGCATGAGATAGGCTTGAAGGCGGTGACCGGTCAGATTATTGATAGACCCTCAGCAGTTCAGATCTCATATCGTTGTGTGAATGAAGTATTTAAGTCGTATTTGTCGTCGTTGCGTGTTGCGCCCATCGACGTGAGGATGCGAGCGACGCTAGTCCACTTTCACAGTGGCGCTAGCTGATCCCTGCTTATCTTAGGGACGACCACCACGGTCCAACACTCCGAACCCCTGTTCTAGACGCAGCGCAAGAACCCGTCTGACAGTACAAGGACGCCTTCTACTTTCTTCATCATGGAGGAAGCAGATGTCAGGATAACAGAGAAGGTGCAATCTCTAAGTGACCTAGAGCTCGCCGTCCTTATTTGCTTGGTCGCGGATCAACATTGCATCATTGAGACCGAGAAGGAACATATCCGTGACGTGCAGGAAGAACTAAAGCTCGTAAGTATTACAGTGCTATGTTTGAGTGATAATACTAAGGTCGCAGGTCGCAGGCAGCGTTTTCGGGCTAACATGGGCGGTGCTGGAATGCGACGAGAATACCACGCTTGACGATTTCGGAAGTGGCATTCTAGTTCGGGAAGATGAAGTTGAAGTTCCATATACCAATGATGGCAAAAAGAGGGGCGAGGTATGATCAAATCGTAAATGCCACCTGCATGCAACTGAGATTATACAGTTCTCGTCAATATCTAGGTCGCCTGACCGGTTGGGAACTAAGTCATCCAGTGGCTTTAGCCCGCTCGATAGTGAGCGCATCGCAAATGTTGTCATTGCAAGAAATCTCAACCAAGCGAGTTCCCAGGTCCAGATTCAAGCTTTGGAGGTCTGACCGCTATCACCAGACCTTGTACTTGGCTAACGGCGATTAGCTTATACGCGGAAAACGAAACTTTACAAGAACTGCAGTACATGCCGCACCAAAGCCTTTTCTTTTCATCGCCTTGAACACTTCTGATACCCCGCGCTTGACAATGCATCTGGTAGGTAACAGGAACATATCAGTTTCGTATACTAACATGGCTACAGAATGACCAGTTTTTCATCTCGCATAAACATCAGGCAGAAGATGGACTACCTAATATGGAAGAATTGCAAGAGAAGGAGCGGGCTTTGGACGATGGCGCGTCTATGTCTTCTGTGGTACGCACCCGGCCGTTTGTACCCGGGAAGCAGAAGCCGCAGATAGCGCTGTTTTCATCTGAAGTATGCAAGTCCGGTAAAATAAAAGCCTGCACGAGTTGACCAGTATAGGATCTTATGAACCTGACCAATCTTACATCCGAAGTCAAGATCAGCTCCGAAGTACGGGCATATCTACACAACATTGTCGTCTTCATGAGGCTGCATCGAGCAGTCGCTGGAGGCATCTCTGCGCTAGCGACGAGGCACTTCAACACATTGGCACAGTGGGTATTGCGCTATTTGGGATGAACCACACTGACTCTCGCAGTGCCCTCGCCCCACTCCACGGTCTCAGTTACATCTCACCGTCTATGGTCGCTCTAGCTGCTCGCAAGATATACCCCCATCGCATTATTATCGCCGCACCGGAGAATGAACGCAGCATGCAATGGGGTAGCTCACTAGAAGCTGTGAAAGCCGTTCTGGAAGGCGTGACGGTTGAAGATGTTATCGAAGAAGTGCTAGAGTCGGTCGAAGTCCCGCTCTAAGTCATTTCCCAGTCAGCCAGATTATCAAGGCAAAGTCTGTCGTGATTGATAGACTAGGGCTTGAGTAAGAATGCTCATTGCTGATGTCATCAGTCTGGCGGACGTGATTGGCACTAGGCGGGACAATGCCTGCCCCTCGGAAAGTGGGCCACTTCTTGTACTCACAACATTGCGCACCACACGCTACAAAGAGTGTAAAACACTAGCGACAGCTTTTGAACCCTCAATTGCTTTCCTGCTTGCATATCTTAATTATGGCGGCAAGTTATTTCGACCAGCTCAGTCCTGGCGTGCAAGAAGCGATCGAGGTAGCTAAGGCCTCTCAGACGTCATAACGATGCGTTGAGACTAACTTCCTTATTGAGAGTGAGCTTGCAGGTGACCAAGACTCCAAGAGTATTGCCAGCGTAAACAGCCATGACGATGCGCTAGAGGTACGTACCCCACTAGAGCCTGTATTCTTATACTGAGAGGAAAACTCAGGTAGTCTTCGAAGGCGGATACCACAGTCGGCGCCGCAAAGCTTCCCTCGCGCCAATCCCAGGCAAAATGACATCTCGTCCCGAAAACGGCCGCCGTACAACCGCCTGTATCGTTCACTCATTACTAGAGAAACAGGATGGGGTTCCAGTCAAGGACCACTCGCAGTCGTATGAGGGATTAGCGCAAGAGAGGCGCGTGGACAAGGACTCACAGACGACGCGCGCCGAGCAGACGGAACACTCACGGTTGTTGACAAAGAAGGAGCTATCAGACATGGCATTTGGGATACGAGAGCTTTCCAAGAAACTGTCGCAGATTCGGCTCAAATTACATGTGAAGAACATCTTCATCTTGGGCAAGGCGCATGACGAGGCTTTGGTTAAGAACTCGCGCGAAGTCACGGATTGGCTTCTGACGAAGAGCAAGGATTATACAGTGTATGTGGAACAGACACTACAGGATAATGACATTTTCGATGCGGCAGGACTGTTGGAAAAGGAGGATTTCAAGGGTCGTCTCAAGTTCTGGACGAATGAGATGTGCGCCAAAAGGCCGCAAACCTTCGATATCATTCTGGCGGTAAGATACACACGCTTTAGGAAACATACACATACAGTTACTAACATGAGCGTAGCTTGGAGGCGACGGCACGGTCCTTTACGCCTCATGGCTCTTCCAGCGCATTGTTCCACCAACAATTGCATTCTCCCTAGGCTCTCTCGGCTTCCTCACAAAGTTCGATTTCGAGCTCTACCCCCAATCCCTCTCGACCGCCTTCGCAGACGGCATCACCGTGAGCCTCCGTCTCCGCTTCGAAGCCACCATCATGCGAACGCAGAAACGCGACGGCAAAGGCCGTGATCTAGTAGAAGAGCTCATCGGCGAGGAATGCGACGACCACCATACCCACATATCCGACGGAACCCACAACATCCTAAACGAAGTAGTCGTCGACCGCGGGCCAAACCCCACAATGTCGTCGATTGAACTCTTCGGCGACGACGAACACTTCACCACGGTCCAAGCAGACGGAATATGCGTCTCCACCCCCACAGGCTCCACAGCATACAACCTCGCAGCCGGTGGCTCCCTCTGCCACCCAGACAACCCCGTCGTCCTCGTCACAGCAATCTGCGCACACACGCTCTCGTTCCGCCCCATCATCCTCCCCGACACTATTGTCCTCCGCTGCGGTGTGCCGTATGATGCGCGAACGAGCTCGTGGGCTAGTTTCGACGGCAGAGAACGCGTCGAGCTTAAACCAGGTGACTATGTGACGATTAGTGCTAGTCGATTCCCGTTTCCGAGTGTGCTCCCACTGAATAAGACGAGGACGGATTGGATTGATAGTATTAGTCGCACGCTGAATTGGAACAGTAGACAGAAGCAGAAGGCGTTTAAGGAGTGGAGTTCGTAGTAGGCGGGGAGTGGGGGGTTAAACAAAGGTTGTAGCCATGGGTTTAGACGTGGACGTTTGTGAGAATACATCTTACGTGTCTTGTAGTGTGTGGAGTGATAGCAATTGAATTATGTTATCACCCTGGTCATGAAATACTAGACATACCAGTAGAAAAAGGTCACTGTACTCACCAGACACGCATATTAGGTGTTTACGCACACTGTCAAGTATTTCATAATACCTATGTACGATACCAAAACAATGCGTGAGTATCATGCTAAACCCAGCGCTGAAGAATACAAATCATCACTATCATCATCATACCGCATCCTCATCCTCAGCCGCGTCCTGCTTCCGTATCTGCTCCTCCAACCTCTTCTTCTCCACGGGCTTCTTTGGCTTAAAGGAGGGACAGATGGGCAGTCCAGATCGAGATGGCGGTCTTGCCTCGAGGCTAGGCGCCTGTTCCTCATCCGCCGGTTCCTCACCCGCCTCCTGCCTCCGTATCTGCTCCTTCAACCTCTTCGCCCTCTCCTGCTCCAACGCCGCCTGCCTCACCCTCGCCATCGTACCCTCAAAGGTATACTGGGGCTTTCCTAATGGTCGCAATGGTGTTCCACCGGAGTCATTGCTGCCAACACCGGCTGGCGCCCTGGAGGATTCCTTAGCAGCCTCCGGCCTCCGTATCTGCTCCTCTAACCTCTTCTTCTCCGCCTGCTTCAGCCTCATTATCGTAACCTCCTCAGGACTAGGCGTGTCCAATGGCGTTGCACCACCGCCGAAGCCCTTGTTACCGCCCATGTCGCGTGGCGCTTTCAAGCAATCCGGCTCACCAGCCGCCCAGCTAACACCATCCAGGCCGGGGAAATCCGTCTTCGCCTCCAACACAGCCTCATACGCATGATCCAACCTCGTATAAACGACGAAGAAACTAACAACATGTATCCTGTGTTTCTCGCCCGGAATCCGCACCTTCTTGTCTTTGCCCGCGATAACGTGTTGGACTTTTCCGTATTTGGAGAACATGGTTTCGATGGTAGATGCGTCCCATGCGAGGGTGGGCGGGGAGGTGGGGGAGCGAGTGAAGACGAGTTTTACTGAGCGGGAGATTTCAGAGGTTTGGCCTGGTTTCGGGGGTGCGGCGACGAAAGATGCTTCTTCATATTCTTTGCGCTGTTTTTCCCTGCGCTCCGTGAGTTCGCGGCGGCGGCGCTTGTTGTTCTCAGCCATGCGTTCGCACTCGGCTTCGCCTAGCTTTTCTAGTTCGCGGCGCTCGGCTTCGGTGTAGACTTCTACGCCGCCCTTACGCTTGAGGTTTTGACGCGCGCGTTCTGCTTCGTGTTCGCGGCGTTCTAGGTCTTCCTTCATTGCGCGGCGTCGGCTGTCGAGGAGGTCATCTTTCAACGCCTTTTCTCGCCGCCGTGCGCGCGCGCGATCGTATTCGCCTTTTAGGGTTTCGTCGATGAGGATGTCGCGGGCCCAGCCCAGGTAGATGAAGCGGTCGGCGGCATCTTTGTTGTCGGGGTTCTTGTCGGGGTGATAGCGTATGGAAACTTTGCGATATGCTTTCTTGATGGTGGCTTCATTGGCGTCAAAGGGTACGCCGAGGAGCTCGTAAAAATCCTCTGTGGAGGACTTCGCCAGATTCTGGAGGTCCTTGTTGACCTCTGCCATGGCGTCGGTAGGGTGCAAGTCGGTTTTGCAGAGGCGTATGGGCGAGCAGTTGTAGAAGGTTTAGACTGACTGGGGAGAAAACAGAGAGGGAGAGGGAGCGCAGGGGAGAAACAGAGAAGGAGCGCACTGCACGAAATTTATCCTCTCCAATCTCCAGGCAAAAGTACCATGCAAAGTTGACCAGCACTCATAAAGGTGAACTCTGGTACAGAGATTATTATTATTATTAAGTTGACAACCAAGGTTGAGATCCACTTGAGCCGTGGAAACATGTGAGATGATCGCCCGCTAGCTAACGTGTCCGTGCACCTCATGCCCGGATTCATCTCATGCCCCGCCGAACACCGACGCGTGTCTCAATACTACAACTTTGACGCGCAATAACTCCACAACTATGGCTCCGATTGATGAAGCGATTGCAGATTTAGAATCGCGCGATCCAGGAGAGAAATTCACATTAAAAGAAGTTGCTGAAAAATGGGGGGTTAACCGCTCAACGCTAGGGCGAAGATGGAGGCGCGTGACAGGGCCTAGGAGCGATGGATACGCTCAGCAGCAAGCTATCGGCCCACAACAAGAGTTAGAGCTTGTACGATATATCACTAAGCTCACTAAGCAAGGCCTACCTCCTACAAGAGAGATGATCAGGAATTTCTCATCAGAAGTAGCCCATCAGCAGCTCAGCGAGAGCTGGGTTACTCGCTTCATTAACCGACACGAGATCTATCTTATCTCAAAGTGGACCACCGCCATGGATCGTACGCGCCACCTGGCTGATTCTGAGTCAAAGTATAGACTCTACTTCGAGCTGCTGCACCAGAAGATCACCGAATACCACCTAGAGGCTCGAGATATATACAATATGGATGAAAAGGGCTTCCTTATTGGTATGATAGGCAGGAGTAAGAGGATATTTAGCAGGCGTCAATGGGATAAGAAAGAGGTTCGAGCATCTCTCCAGGATGGATCACGCGAGTTTCTGACACTCCTGGCCTGCTGCTGCGCCGATGGGAGCTCGCTGCCTCCAGCCCTTATCTACGCAGCTAAAAATGGAGCCATACGATCGAGTTGGGTGGAGGATATTAAGGCAGGAGAACATGAGGTCTTTGTCTCATCATCTCTAACAGGCTGGTCAAACAATGACGTAGGCCTAGCTTGGCTAGAGCAGGTGTTTGATCGCTATACAAAGCAGCGATCAGGGAGATGGCGATTGCTCATCCTTGATGGCCATGGATCTCACCTCACGATGGAGTTTATCAAGTACTGCGATCGCCATAGGATCCTCCTCATGATCCTTCCTCCCCATTCGACTCATACGCTCCAGCCGCTCGATGTAGTGCTGTTCAAGCCACTCTCTCAAGCCTACTCCAACGAGCTCACTAACCATCTCTACAAGGCTCAAGGCCTCATTCCAATTAAGAAAGGAGACTTCTTCCCACTCTTCTGGAGAGCTTGGCAGGCCTCGTTTAAGCAATCAACTATATTAAAAGCGTTTGAAGCTACTGGTATATGGCCAATAGATCCCAACGTTATCCTTCGTAGATTTGCCAGCACGCCAGAAGCTGAGAGAAGCTCATCTTCAGGGCTCTCTGATCATGACTGGAGAAAGCTCGATCGGTTAGTACGAGCTGCTGTCAATGATAGCCATCAGTATGAGGCAAGAAAGCTGCGCTCAAGCGTTCACCATCTCTCTGTGCAGTATAAGCTTTTACAGCATGAGAACGAGGGCTTAAAGGAGGCTCTTCAACATAAAAAGAAGCATAAGAAGAAGGGCAAAGCTCTTGACCTTCAACAGCGCCAGGAGTATCACGGTGGCTCTGTCTTCTGGTCTCCTCGCAAGATACGCGAGGCTCGAGCTAGAGAAGTAGTACGGGAGCGAGATAAGATAGAGGAGAAACTCCAAAAAGCACAGGCCAAGAAGCAGCGTGAGGAGGTTCAACTGCAGCGTCAAGTTAAGCTCGAGGAGAAGCGTGTAGAGAGGCAGAGGCTCAAGGAGATAAGGGAGCTTGAGCGAGCTGAGAAAGCAGCTGAACGCGCGCGCAAAGTTGAAGCTCAACACCAGAAAAAAGCCACCCAACAAGCTCAACAACGCAAGCGTAAAGCCTCAAGAGCGCCCTCTTCTAAGAACAAGCGTCAAAAACGAGCGATGGAGGATAGAGCTCGCGATAGAGTTGCATCTCCTCCATCGCCTCCACCACCAAAGACCACATCACGTGGCCGCAACGTCAACCTCCCACAAAAATTCAGATAGTACAAGTTAATCGCAAGTATCTAATTACTGCAATGCTATGTTTTTATTAATATTAAGCTATTGTGTGGTGTTGTACAGCTTCAAATTTGAGATCGCTAAGATGGTGTTCGCGGGGCATGAGATGAATCCGGGCACAAGGTGCACGGACACGTTAGCACAGCTTCCGGCTTGGCGCAGATTTTCGGAACAGAGCCACCAGGGTGTCATGAAATACTTGACATACCACTGTATGACGGCCACTGTAGTCGCCAAACACGCCTATAGGTGCTTACATACCCACACTGTCAGTGGAGCTTCGGAAATGAAGTAAAGCTTGCGCAAGCTCCGAATTGTCTGCCTTCACTTGTGCTTTCCACATGTCGAACGCCCACTAATGTCCTTTGCGCTGACTACAATTAAACGCGCAACGATGGCTACTTCCACAAAGTCGAATCCAAAGGTGCTCGAGGGAATCTTCGCCATCAACAAGCCGCAATGGGCCTCATCTGCCGGCGTCCTGCGCGACCTTCAAGAACACTTCTCCCGCTCCTCGCTCTTTGCACCATGGCTGGAGTCGCAAAAACGCAGTCTAATACTTAGTCAAGCAAAGCAAAAGCACATCAACAATCTGAAAGTGAAGCTCGGCCATGGCGGCACTCTCGATCCAATGGCTACTGGTGTCCTGATAGTCGGAATGGGCAAGGGTACAAAGTGCTTACAACGCTTCCTCGAATGCACAAAAACATACGAATGCGTTGTCCTATTCGGCGCGGCGACAGACAGCTACGACGCCGTGGGCAAAGTAGTCAGCAAAGCACCCTACGAGCATGTCACGAAAGAGTTGGTAGAGGAGAGACTGGCGCAGTTCCGCGGCAAGATCCTACAGAAACCAAGCGTCTTTTCCGCACTCAAGGTGGACGGGAAGAAAATGTACGAGTACGCGAGAGCAGGTGGCGATATCCCAGAGGTAGCTGCGCGGCCAGTCGAGGTGGAAGAGCTGGAGCTGGTGGAGTGGTTGGAGCCTGGAAGTCACGAGTTTGCGTGGCCCAAGGAAGAGGTGGGAGGCGAGGAGATGGAGGGCGCGAAGAAACTCATGGGTATAAGAGCAGAAGACGCCAAGAAATACGCTGATACCACGGCGAGAAAAGGACGGAAGCGAGAGCGGTCACCAGAGAGCGACAGCGTCGAAGGTGCTGGGAAACAGCCCAAGATGCCAAAATCAGACACTGAGCCTGCCATGTCTGGCGCCTTGCCATCAGAAGAAATCCCCGTCGAAACAGCAGAGGAAGAAACTTCGGAACCTCCCAACGACTCGACAACCGAACCCGTAGACCCCGTTCCTACTTCAACCGAACCCACCGACCCTGCCCCTCCCCCAGCTGAATCCGAACCACATCCCCAACCCCCCGCCGCCCGCCTCCGCATGACAGTAACATCCGGTTTCTACGTGCGCTCCCTCTGCCACGACCTGGGCCTCGCCTGTTCCTCACTCGGCCTCATGTCCTCGCTTATCCGCTCCCGCCAAGGCGCCTACACGCTCAACAAAAATGTGCTGGAGTACTCTGACCTGGAAGACCCCGCGAAATGGGAGCCTGTGCTGCAGAAGCAGCTGGAAGATTTCATGCAAGAAGAGGGCTGGGAGGCGGAAGAATTAGAAGATGAGGAGAAATGGGAGGCGAAGAAGAAGGGGAGGTTGGCGGAGGAGAGGGAGGAGGATCGCGAGAGGAGTTACAGGGGTGGGGGCAGGAACAAGTGGAATAAGGGGAAGGGGAAGTATAGTCGAGGTGGTGGTGGTGGAAGGAGGGATTAAGGGAGTAGAGGTTGAAGGGATGTGGAAAATGTGTTAGGTGGATGGAGATAGGCCACTCATGATACCCTATGGAAAGTCTAACATGAAATGAAATCAGGTTGGATTCGCTTAAAGAACAGACTTGGGAAAGAAATAGACCATATGCAATGCCACCAAATGCTCCAGAACAGTGTGACTGACTCTACCGAGTAATGCCCCCTCGAGGTAAATGCCCAGACCCTTCTCACGCCTCTAAACGCCATCTTAAAGATACCCACACCCACAGCCCTTCAAACATCCGATCTGGAATTCCGTCGACTACCCAAACTCTGCCGTAATCCCTGAAAGCTGCCCCTAGCATCCGTCACCACGCCATCAGCGCCCTGACTCTGCAGTCCTTGCGCCTCATCCTTGCGATCCTCATGATTGATAAACAAAAACGAAAGCACCATAATGGCCGCACCAACCCAATACAACGCAGACGCATACTGCGCATCCAGCACCATTTGCCCGACCAAACTGCACGGAATAGTCAAACTGAGACCTACGGTGACGATGAGCGGCGAGGTGAGAAGCATAGCGTAGGCCCAGCAAAAGTCGGATACCAGCGAGGAGGCGCTATTGATGAGGACGATATTGAGGATGCGAGATGTAGGCGGAAGTTCAAACGTCTCGATACCCGTAAGATGGAGGATGATGAAACCAGGCCAGAGTAGCATAACATTACTCAACCCAACGAGACCGAAGAAAAGAGGCATGTTAACCTTTGTCTCATCGCCAATCTTTGCCTTCATGAACACAGTGTAGAAGCCATACAGCGCGGCCGACACAAACGCCATGACATCGCCAATAGCCAGTTCGCGGGGCGTCTTGTGCGGGAAGCTACCCCGGTTTTCGTCCGTTTCGCCAGACACATCGACCATGGAAATGAGTGCCACGCCGCCGAGCGATGCCAAGACGCCGATGAGCTTTAGCAGGGTGAAGCGCTCGACGCGCATGAGGGAGCCGAGGAGCAGCGTCCAGATACTCGAGGTAGACGCTAGGATCGTGGAGCTGGCGACGGTCGTGTATTCGAGACAGGCGGCGGCGAAGTAGTTTGCAAGGAACCAGAGGAGGCAGAATTCTAGGGCTAGTTTGGCTGTGTCTTGTAATGTTAGTCCTTCGTCTGCTTCGTGCTCCTTGTGTGGCGCCTCGCGCGAGTCCTGCGATGTATGTAGCGAGGATGATAAGAGGACTTCTGCGGCTTCGTCGTTGCGGCTTTTGTTGGAGGCCCGCGACGAAGAGCGGGATTCGTGTTCACGGAGGAGTTTCCATTTGCCTGCTCGTCGCTGCAGGAGATCGCGTACATGCGCTGTGAGGGGCTGTCCGGGTTGGCGCGCGCTGGGCCGGTGACGGTCGACCCATAGGTGGTGGACGAACATGGGGATTAGGGGTATGACGAAGAAGGTCGTGTTTACGTAGGTTACTAGGTACGGCTTTGAATACGAGTTGTCTGCGAATATCGTCTGCGCGTGCATTAGTCCGGCCGTTCCTCACATAGACATGTGCGACCATGGTCGCGCGCCAACTTGAGATAAACGTACACTGGCGAGGAAATTACTCGCTGTCCATAACAGCACTGTCGCGAGTAGGAGCGCTATGCCCACGGCATGCCTCAGTTTTGCTGTCCAAGCACTCGCGGGCCCCTTCCCCCCTTCGGTCCACTGACTGACTTCGCTCGCCGGGCTGTCCAGAAAGTCCTCTCCGTGTAGGTATTCGCTCACGTCCGACTCATTGCTAACACGCGGACTGAGCGGTGTCGTCTCGACGAGCTCTTCTCGCCTCGGTATCATGTTGGGCGCAAGCCACTATAATGAATGCACAGGGTGTCGCGACCTAGATCAAGGAGGGTCTTCGGCAACAAGCAGGTTCACCGTTGGAAATCGTGTCGAGGCATGTGACGGGGTGCGGGTGCCCATGTAATTAGTCGTGTCGAAAGATGAAGCAGAGCTTCACTAGGTGTGGTGACCAGCAGTTTGGCGAGACACGCAGAAAGTGTCTGAACTGGTCGGGGGTTTCAGTGTCTCAGGAAGACCCATGCGTGGCTTTGGCGGCTTAGCCACAGCCCCACGTCATCACTGCCGATGCGTCCATCTCCATCTGCCGCGAATCCAAGCCATGTTTTCACCAAGAAGAAACAGTGGATATGCTAAAATGTATTCGTATCGTTTCTGGCAGTTATATAGATGAGGCAATCAGAGATCAAAGCCGATGATGATGAATTACAGGAATACCGAACGCTCCTACGTAGAAGCATGTCAAACACCAGACTCCATACCAACTCCAAATGCAACATGGCATCGCGGCAGGTAGAGCTACACTGCCGGCTCTCATGGCCGACGCTCGTGAGGCCATGGCTTACTAGCATGCGCAGCCGCCTTCGCTGCCCTTCAGATCGATCGGGATTGTCTCGGGGAAGTCGTTGCTAAAGTCACCAACGTCTTCTTGTGCCAAGGCTTGTCGTGCAATCACTGTGCATGTCAGCCGACGATGATCGGGTTGGGTTGTTGGTTCTGATATACCTTCAAACGCTTGCTCCACGTTGATAGCTTCCTTTGCACTCGTCTCGAAGTAGGGGATGCCGCCTTTGGATTGGCAAAAGGTCATGGCACGTTTAGATGATATCTGCCAGCGTTAGCTGTGTTGCATCAAATATGCGCATCAAGCATCTACCATTCGTTTGCTCTCTTCCACATCGATCTTGTTTCCAATGACGACCTGTCAAGTCAGTAATTATACCCCGACCATCGATACGCATATACATACGAATGGGAAGCTCTCGGGATCCATAGGACTGGCCTGAACCAGAAACTCGTCCCTCCAGCTGTCCAGGGTATCGAAACTCTTCGAGTTATTCACGTCGTACACAAGCACGCAGCAGTCGGCGCCACGGTAGAAGGCGACACCTAGCGATTGGAAACGTTCCTGACCAGCCGTGTCCCAGAGCTGAGCTGTTAGCTTATCGCTTCAACAAGAGTTGACTACACCGACCTGCATCGTGACCAGTCTATCGTCGACTAGCACTTCCTTTGTGAGGAAATCGGCCCCGATGGTTGCCTTGTAGCTTGCGCTGAACTTCTTGTTGACCTATCCAGTGTGTAAGTATTTGTACTCAGTATAGCCCAGACGTATGGCGGTGTGATTCGTACATATTGGTTCATCAAGCTGGTCTTGCCGACCCCGCTGTCTCCGAGGATAATGACCTGAGCGCATTAGTGTGGCTCCTCATATCTAACGCAGAGCTGCAGTACCTTGAGGAGGACCTTCTTCCTTGACGCCATGGTGTAATGTGTTGTGTGGAGTGTAAAGGCTAGGTACGGCGGTGTTGACTCGAGGCGCGAAGCTCCGTTGCTTCGTTGGCGTGCGGAGTGGGTCGCACGGGTGATAGGCCGAGGCAATAGTTGTACCACACTGATATACAAGGTCTGTGAGGGGATTCGCTGGAGTAGGAAGCAGAAAGTGCGCTGCGTAAATGGCGCAGAGACGAAGAGAATAGGTGCGGCCTGTTACTGGAGATCGATGATGGTTGATGTCAAACCTACTGGGGTACCGGCACTGACTATGGCACGGACATGGCGATCTAGGCCAAAACGGGGATAGCAAATTCTAGCAACTTCGTCCTTGAAGTACGTAGGTATCGACGTGAAAGATACCCCGCTATATCATGAATTCCCTTCATTCCAAAATCTAAAATCAACCCAGAGTCCAAAACAACGCGTTTCTTCCAATTAGCACGACTAGAACTCCATGTGTAAATAAACACATGTCCTATGATCAGCAAGTACACCGTCGGCACAAGTGAATCTCATAGAGTTGGAGCATGTCTATCTTCTACGGTATGATACCAATGCTAGCTCTTCATGTTCCCCCATTCAGCCTTCGCACTCTCCTCGTTGGCAGAGAAGCTATTTTCGCCGTGAGATCCAAGAAAAGGTTACATCTCTCTGTCTGAGCCAAGTGGATGAGCACGACCAAACTGACCGGATTGGATCTGGAAGGCCGCTCGATGTTGCGATATTGCAGAACGAGATGCCATGGTAACCAGCGCATGTATGCGTAAGAGTGTCACCAGTCTGCGAACCAACATGGCTTATTTCCCATATCGTAGATGTATGCGCTTAGGTATACTCCAGATTTAACATGTGTAGTATCATTGTAGATACCTTATAGGGCTCAAGAATATGCTTGAGCTACTGGGTTTTGCAGCAAACAATACCACTAGAACGGCAACTGGAAAAGTCTACGTCGCATGAGGAAAATACACCCATCGAAAAAGAACGGTAAAGCCTAAAGAAGCATATCGCATGGTATCCCTTGTTGGGCATGGAGATCCCGAACGGCAACCGCAATACCCACATCAGATCCAAGCGCCAACTACAAGATTAGCTTGACATGCCCATCAACGCTGACAGCTCAATCGAACGCAAGAATAGTTTTACTACAATAAGCGAAAACTTGCGTTACCTTCCTCAACGACCGTCATAAATCTCCTGCTCAGCAGTGCAATACCATCCAAACATGAAGATACGCAGTCAGTCTCATCAGACCACGATTACGAAGAACCCGGACTTCAAGACCGCTCATATGTGCTGTTCGCGACAATATCAATGTACAATTCGTAATCGTGATTATAATCTCAACATCTCTCTCGCCCAACCCCACGGCTGCTCGTGCGAACACGTCTTCTAGTACAAGCAAGTCTAGTCCCAGTGCTCGTGGCCTCCTTCATCAACCAACACCTGTGTCAGAACTCACTTTTTCGTATCGTAATTTGTAAACGTACACAGACATCCGCCCTCTCCGTGACGTATGTAGAACCCTCGTGTACTAAAATCATTCGATCGCCTGTGAAATTGCAGAGCTTACCGTACTCGGCGGTGTCCTCAGCCGAGGTAATTTGCTTTAACAAAGACTCTGAGTACGTCAGTTTTCGTGTTGTCAGATCTGTACATACACGAGAGATACAGTAAGCAGCCCGAATACGATGCTGACAACCGCCGCCCCTTTCACGAGACTGAGAAGACGGTGTGTATATATTCTAGAGTCGCGCGTGGAAACTCAAGTCATTCTTTACCTATCCACCTTGGCCAAAACATATACTTCAACTTGACCAAACGAAACCAAAATGGTGAAGATACAAACCTTTATTCTACTACTTGGCTTGAGCCTAGGTGTCTCCGCTAAGAACTCGGGCGTTGTATGAATTAGCTCGTCTCTCCTCTTGTCTCCGCCCTCACGTTACTAACGAATTGCCTTGTAGACTGCGAGATGCCGACAAATCAAAGGCGACAATTACGGGAAGTGCTGCAGCCTTGTCGACGCTACAGACTGCCAGTGGTGTAGTGCGGTACATCACCCTGACCCTATTGGCTATCACTATGATAAATCTAATCCACTCTAAACAGGCGGGTAAACTACCAGGCGGAGGCGGCGCGCGCTCCTGCCACAAGAGCGGAAATCCCTGCAGGAAAGACGCTTGGTTTACAGATTATAGGGATGGTACTCCTCCAATCTACTGGTCAGACTGCAATCTAGACTAGAAATCGGATATTCGGTCAGAGTCATCGGGCATTCGACAATAGCTGTTCTCTCTACGATTTTGGGATCGAAGGTCTATGTTCGACATCTTGGCCTCTCGGCCTGCCGCTATCGTCCAAGTTATCGTACATGGGGGAGGATGGCTACTGGCCCGACTCGGGAGCAGAAAGTTGGCGGATGCAGTAATGAATGGAAGGAAGCTTTGGTGTATAATATACCATGCAGTGTGTTTTCGTATCAATGGAAAGCAGATTGTCGTTGGCCTCAGCACGCTCTTGTCAAGTGATATTGCCATCGCGAGTTGACGGGATTCACCGACTAACATCCACACATGCAAGCGCCGCTTGTATCTGACGTTCGATCCGCATCCCAGCGCATGAAGTAGTGCTTCTTTGAGAAGGGAGGGAGAAGAAGAAGGATCGGGTTGTGAGGTACCACGACGAGAAAGGGCGATTTTCCAGCCGACGCGTTTACATCTGGAAAAGTTTGGGTTATGCATGAGCGGCCAGGGTGGGGTACGTAGATCAACTCGAATGACAGCATCGACACGCAGAAGCACAAGTGTCTTTGCCCGTATTCAGACAGGTACGAGGACTATAGAGACGGTGAGTAGCCAGAACACACTTTGACAGTTCGTTTGACGAGAAAAAGAAATTTTGATCTCCCGGGAAACCGTCTGGTGCTCTTGGCGTTTGATAAGGCTGGCCTAACGTGTGAGGGTCCATGACTCCATCACTATGGCGTAATCCATCATGATATCATGAACCATGTCTTGTTGAAGATGGAGAGGAGCGAATTGAGCAGCCACTGGTTTCAGAAACTTTCCTGGACTGCTAGAAGCGGTCTGGAAAGGATTCAAAATATTCGCCCTAGGCTTCACCGTCATTCATCAGCCAAGCACGGTAACACCCCTCTACACTCAAAGAACACTCGACCGTTTCAGGGATGCAGCTCTTCCACAAGCCTAGGCAGGAGCAGAACGATAAGATCGCCAGTATGAGCGATATTGCGGGTTCCTCAACACCTAGCGTACGCCCTGACACGTCCGAGCACGCGTCGTCCAGTCAACTGTAGCAAAGTGGCCGCAAGTCAAAAGTCTGTGGGAGGTGATGTACATACTTTACGCGTCTCTGTCTCAAAGACGCGTTTCCGAAGCCAAATTGTCTCGAGCGTGCACCGTGACAAGCTCGGTGGAGCTGGCCAGCCATCAGCATCAGCCGATTTACCAGAGAAAATCTTATCTGATCCGAGGCCGGCACGAGCAATACCACATTGCAGCCAGTGCGAGCATAGAGGCGGGCCAATATTAGTTTCAAATGCATTTCTAAGCCCTGATTCCGCCGCCGGATGCAGAGCTAGTTTGTCATGGTAGCGGCCCTTGCGTGTTGTGGTGGGGAAGGGGAGTCGAATCATAGCGCGTTGCGACGCGTTTGCCCGTGTGAAAGACCGTGGCTGGGCGACGCGATGAGCGACCTTGATGCGTTATTTGGAGGCGTGACAGAGAGAAAAAATGATGATATGGGTGTCATTGAAATGAGCGTACTCAATTGTATCTGACCAAAGAGCGAAATCATTTTCTAGGGCTTGATGGGGCAGCAGAGCGGCTTCGATGAGCTTTGTAGATGGATGAGCTCATAGCGCCTTTTCGTGGAAGAGGCGCGCTAGTGGCTGCGTCTAGCGCGATCACCAAGTCACGTGTCGGTGGGTCTACGTAGATTTATAGTTGGAGTCGCGTTCTCTTTGTCTCTCTACACCACAGCATCATCCACCCTCATCGGCGCCACTACTTGTATTTTTGACTACTCTGTCGCCTTTTACAATCAATTCAGCGCATCAATCACCCTTCGTCCACAACAATGTCTGCTCTTCAGTCCACGCCCTCCAAGCAGGTATGTCGCGTTACCCAATATAATTCGTACTCGACGCGTCCATACTAACGCGTAAATAGGCTGCAACTGCAACTGATAACCTCAAGATGACCGACTCTCCTGCAAAGAAGCTTGACTTCTCGTCAACAGACAAGGAGAACACATTCAAGCCCATCGTCGGCATTCCAGATGACTTTGATGCGGACGATGAGGAGGTGAAGCCAACCGTTGCTCCTACAATCAAGCCCGAGGAAGCAGACGAGCCCCTCCTTCAAGAAAACCCTGGACGCTTTGTCCTCTTCCCAATCAAGTACCACGATGTAAGTTTTACTTCCGAACGCGCTAGACGCGTGTCTACGCGTCAGACCCTGTTCACCTTGACACATGCTAATGACATCCCTACAGGTCTGGCAGATGTATAAGAAAGCCGAAGCTTCCTTCTGGACCGCCGAAGAGATTGATCTTTCCAAGGATCTGCACGACTGGAACAAGCGTCTCAACGACGACGAGCGTTTCTTTATCTCACACGTACTCGCCTTCTTCGCCGCCTCTGATGGTATCGTTAACGAGAACCTTGTCGAGCGATTCTCGAGCGAAGTACAAATCCCCGAGGCGCGATGCTTCTACGGCTTCCAGATCATGATGGAGAACGTCCACTCCGAAACATACTCTCTTCTTATCGACACATACATCAGCGATACCAGGCAGCGCAAGTACCTCTTCAATGCCATCGAAAACATCCCATGCATCCGCAAGAAGGCCGACTGGGCTCTGCGATGGATCTCCGACAAAAACTCCACTTTCGCCAACCGTCTCGTTGCCTTTGCCGCTGTCGAGGGCATCTTCTTCAGTGGTTCTTTTGCGTCCATCTTCTGGCTCAAGAAGCGTGGTCTCATGCCCGGCCTCACCTTTTCGAACGAGCTTATCTCCCGTGACGAGGGCATGCACACCGACTTTGCCTGCCTGCTCTTCTCCCTCCTCAACAACCGCCCCAGCAATGAGGAAGTCCGTGCCATCATCACCGAAGCCGTCGAGATTGAGCAAGAATTCCTGAGCGACGCGCTGCCTTGCGCTCTGCTCGGCATGAACGCTACCCTCATGTGCCAGTACATTGAGTTCGTCGCCGATCGTCTGCTGTTGGCTCTCGGCAACACCAAGGTGTACAACGCCACCAACCCATTCGACTTTATGGAGAACATTTCGCTTGCTGGCAAGACCAACTTCTTCGAGAAGCGTGTTGGTGACTACCAAAAGGCCGGTGTCATGGCCAGCACAAAGAAGCATGAGCAAAAGGACGGCACATCAGGCCCTGCACCAGAGCCTCAAGGCCAGTCTGGTGACTTTTGCTTCGACGAGGACTTTTAAATGCCTCGCGCATTCTGTCCTTGCATGTATTTTCGATCTTTCTTATTGTATACCACGTCGGACATTTGGGGTTGGCTAGGTGCCGGGCACCTTGCGTCGGCATATTTGTCCCTTTTTGCATTCTCGGGCCATTGATACACCTTTCACTTTGGCGCCACGGCGCATTTGATTTATATAGGCCTCTTAGATGAGTGATGCTGAGCATGGATGGATCAACGACCTTGACTAGCTTGAATACGAACACTTAATAACTACGAGACGTTTTATATGCAAATTGAGTTCGTAGTCGGGCTCTTATGCCGAGGTACCTCTGACGTCATTGAGATGTCGTTAGGGCGTTCGAGCGAGCTGAGTGCATACATGTGCACGAATGGAGCACCATCTCTATCTTCAATCGTAACGTTTTCTCTCCAAGCGGATTGTGCGACGGCTGCAGCGCTTATATCTGCTTGCCTACAGAGCTGGTGCTACGGACTCAACATCTCGCCCGTAAACATCCGCCGATTCCGAAACCTCTCTTTCTGTGGCCTCCGAAACCTCTCTTTCCGTTGCGACACAGCCTGCGCTTGTCTGACTACACTGCCTAGGAAATTCAGTCTAATGAATCGCATCACAAAGAAGTGCAACCAACTTGAGCTGCTATCCAGCTAACTGGGAACACCCTTGTTATTACTTCGGTGACACGTCAATATGGCAGACACGATCCCCAAAGTTAAGGTGAATGGTCGAAGCTCGTTGCACTTGCAAAAACAGGAGTATGGATCCTCAACACAAGAGAGTGCGCAATCGACGCCTATGAGATCTGCTACCATTCTCAACAAGGGAGATCTGCAAATGCTTGCCCCAAGGTCCATAGGCCCACTGTCCAACAAGAAACTGGCCGCAAAACTTCGAAGTCCGACCTCAACGCAACTTTCGAGCGACGCACAAAATGGAGCTATTGGCGACGAGAGACAGCCATCGGATACTCCACCTATAGATCCGTTGTCGCAAGTAGGTCAACAGGAAAGTCAATGTTGGAGAATAGACGCTAACAGCGCATTGTGCACAGCAAATCCTCCAGAGAACGAACACATCGCCCGCGATACAGAAATTACGGTCGCAGAATACAGAGTCCACGCCGAATCTATCCTCCGGGTTGCCCAAAGAAGCAAATGCGGATAACAAGCTGAGTGGTGAGATAGCACGCGATGCTGTTGGGAGTAGGGCAGACAAGAAGTGAGTTGCTTTTTCCCGACAGTGCATACTTCGTATCTAGAAGAAGAGATACGCACTGTCGTATTCGTACTTTGATCTGCAGTTGGCCAGACATGTCAATGTTAGTCTGATCTGACGACAAGCACAGGAAGGTATCGTTTCTTAGTCGCTTCATCGGCAGCAACAAAAAGAAGGTCACCCCCGACGGCGCAAGCGACAATGGCTCCGAAGCAGACGATTCACGGCACGAGGGTATGGACGCCCAGCTCTATGTCAACAACTTGAGCTTCAGTCCGAAGATACCCCAACCACCCTCCTACATCAAAGTGAGGTCAAAATTCAAGAAAGAGAAGGAATTCGACCGCGTATTCCTGGCCCAGGAGTTACGGACGGGATCGGACAAGAAGAGCCCGCCTGCTGCTGGGTCCAACCCTGCCCCACAGTCCGGATCAGCGGCCAAACACAATCCTATATGGGCTATCGAGTTTAGTAAGGATGGGAGGTATCTCGCTGTTGCCGGACAGGATAGAGTCATCCGGGTGTGGGCGGTGATAGATAGCCCTGAAGGACGGAGAACACACGAGAACACCGAGCGCGACCCACATGCCTTGGATGGGGAGGCTAAACATCTTAGTGCGCCAGTTTTCCAGCAAAAACCCATTCGGGAGTATCAGGGGCATACAGCAACCATCTTGGACTTGAGTTGGAGCAAGGTGTGTATGCATGGAGATATTGCCTATGAACCGGCTAACAATCATCAGAACAATTTCCTCCTATCCTCGTCCATGGATAAGACTGTGCGCCTGTGGCATATAGGTCGGGACGATAACCTGTGTACTTTCAAGCACTCGGATTTTGTTCCTTCGATACAGTTCCATCCTACAGACGACCGCTTTTTCCTTGCGGGCTCTTTAGACACAAAGTTACGGCTCTGGAGTATTCCGGATAAAAGCGTTGCATTTTCCGTTTCAGTCCCAGACATGATTACCTCTGTTGCGTTTACTCCAGATGGAAAGACTTGTATAGCCGGGACATTGGGAGGTCTCTGCATATTTTATGATACGGAAGGTCTGAAATGGCAAGCGCAACTTCACGTCAAGTCGACACGCGGGCAGAATGCCAAGGGTAGCAAAATCACAGGCATTCAAGCGACATACTGGCCGCCAGGGAAGGAAGATGCAGAAGTCAAGCTGCTGGTATCGAGCAACGACTCGAGGTTGCGAATATACAACATGAAGGACAAGACTTTGGAGATGAAATTCCGTGGCCATGAAAACAACTGCAGTCAGATAAGAGCATCGTTTGCGGATAGTAGTGGACACATCATATGCGGGAGCGAAGATCGGAAGGCGTATATCTGGTCAACGACTACACCTGAGGGTGATAAGAGGGATAACCGGCCACTTGAGATGTTCGAAGCGCACAAGTCTATCACTACCTGTACAGTGTTTGCTCCTGTCCAGACTAGACGACTCCTCAGCGCTTCGGAGGACCCTATATTCGACCTCTGTAACCCTCCACCAGTCACGCTGGTCTCGAAAGCGGAATCTGTAGTTTCCTCCCGGGCACCCACTGAAGGATTAGCGCCGAATCCGAATTTTGCTCCAGTAGATGCCAATCCCAGGAAAGCTGCCGAGAGCCCAGCGTATACAGCCCGCTGCGCTCATTCTGGAGGTAACATTATTGTCACAGCAGACTACACCGGGGCTCTGAAGGTGTTCAGACAGGACTGTGCCTTCCAAAAGCGTATGCGACTAACAGAGCAGTGGGACACAGTGTCCATGAAAAGGACCTCTGGTATCGGACGACCAAGTAGCATAATATCTCGAACCAGCAGGTCGCGAAGAGACAGCTTGTCCACCCAACCACCCAACGACCGCATCATGACATGGCGACAAAGCATCTCACATGCTAGTTTCGACTCGAGCAATTCCGTCCCTCGCCGTAGCGCTTCCCCCAGAAAATCA